GTATGCGTTCCATCCCTATGAGAGAGAGAGAGAGAGAGAGAGAGAGAGAGAGAGAGAGAGAGAGAGAGAGAGAGAGAGAGAGAGAGAGAGAGAGAGAGAGAGAGAGAGAGAGAGAGAGAGAGAGAGAGAGAGAGAGAGAGAGAGAGAGAGAGAGAGAGAGAGAGAGAGAGAGAGAGAGAGAGAGAGAGAGAGAGAGAGAGAGAGAGAGAGAGAGAGAGAGAGAGAGAGAGAGAGAGAGAGAGAGAGAGAGAGAGAGAGAGAGAGAGAGAGAGAGAGAGAGAGGGAGAGGGAGAGGGAGAGGGAGAGGGAGAGGGAGAGAGAGAGAGAGAGAGAGAGACCACGGAAGAAAACTGATCGAAGAAAGATGCAGATATGTCACCCCGATTTTTAGTTCATACCAAGCAGGTAGACAGGAGCCAATGCACTGTAGTAAATAGAGAAAGAGATTTGAGTTGGATAGAGCGTGTCGAGAGGAAGAAAACATTGCACGCATGTAGCACGAAAGCCCCCTCGCCCTTCGTTTTGTCATTAGTTGTCGTGCCAGTTCATCTCCATGATCATTTATTCTCTGCTGTCTTGATTTGTGGTTTCCATGAACCTGATCCTGTTTCTTCTTCCAGCAAGCATCCTGAGGTTTTGGAACGAAGAGAATCGATACCCACTGGCAACTACCAACACTCCCCAGTCAGACATGGCAGGAATCCGCGGCGAAGAAGATGATGTGAATGAAGGACTCCCCAAGCTGGAGACTGTACGTTCATTCCTAGTGCTGCTCGTCTTCTTGTTGATTCACATCCTGCTTCTTCTCCTCGTGCTTCTTGTGTCCTGGTCCGGTCGTTTGTTCTCCTCTTTCATCTTCATCCGCTTGCTCCCTCCCCCTCCTCCGTCCCTTGTCGTCTTCCTGTCTCCAGCCATCTTCCCGTCTCTACTTATGGTCGCTTTTCCCCTGACAGACTCCGGAATCTACGACGACGAGCACAACCTTCGTCATGAGGAACGAGGACCACACGCTAGGCAACGCTCTGCGCATCGTGATCTCGAGGAAGTAAGAGCTCTTCCTCCTCCCTCGTCCCCAACGCGCTGACAAGCTGCTGCAGCCCCAACGTGACTTTTTGCGGGTACAGCGTTCCCCACCCGCTCGAGAGCAAGATGCACCTTCACATCCAGACCAAAGGTGAGGAGGAGGATGAAACGCTGCTTCCGGTACGAGCTCACGCTGGCTGGCGCAGCTGGAAGCGACACGACAGCAGCGGAGGCGCTGAAGCAGGGGCTGAAAGAGATCATGTCAATGTGCGATCACCTCGGGGATGTGTTCGACGAGGCTGAATCAGAGTATTACATCTCATCAGGCCGCTGAGGGGAGAGAGGGACAGGGAACAAGTGAGCAGGGAGGTTGAGGAACAGACAGGTTGAGCTAGAGAGGATATTGGAAGAGATGTCGTTGGGGTGAGTTTTTTTGTACAATAAATTTCTCAACTAGGAATGTAGGCGAGGCGGCGGGTCCCGAGGCTGACGTGAGAGGAAATAGTGCAGGTCGAAGCAAGAACGTGAGGCACTGATGCCGAGAATGGAGTTGAAAGGAGGGGGGGAAAGAGGAGGAGGGAGAAAGAAGAAGAATATGAGAAGGAAGAAGGAGAGTGGATCGACAGCGAGCGATCAGGGCCTCATATGTTCGTTTCATCGGTCAAGGTTGCCACCCGGTCTCGAAGGTTCTTGTTGGTCATGAAGTCTATGATGAACTTGACGGGATCGTCCGGAGCTTCCTTGAGCACTTGAGAAGAAACAGCTCGCATGATTTCACCGAGCTCAGGATGCGACCGAAAGTAGATTTCGTTCTCCATCCTTATCCTTTTCTGCGCATCATACTCAATCGAAAGTACGTCAAAACCAGAGATCGTTTCACATGTCGAAAGACAAGTAAATTGAAAGTGTGATGTGAGAAATGTTGGATCCGAACACGTACAAGAATCGTGGTTGCTTGCATGAGTGATGGAGTATGAAAAGATTGCAGAGGACCATGGTCGTGAGGGAAAAAAAATCTCATGTTTTCCCCTATGTCCAATGAAATGTCAAACTGCAATATCTAGTTCTGTTCGTCTTTCTATTGTTGATGTTGATAGTGGTGGTAGTATTGGTAGTGTATCCCCCACACCCTCTTCGTTGTTGTCGTAGCTATTACTAGTGCTGACCTAGCACTGCTGGTTGCGATGATCATGATAACGGAAGAGAAGAAGAAGAAGAAGAAGAAGAAGAAGAAGAAGAAGAAGAAAAAGAAGAAAAAGAAAAAGAAGAAGAAGAAGAAGACAAAGAAAAAGAAGAAGAAGAAGAAGAAGAAGAAGATGATGATGATGATGATGATGATGGTGATGGTGATGGTGATGGTGATGGTGATGATGATGATGATGATGATGATGATGACGACGACGACGACGACGATAGTAGCACAAGACTACCATGACAAGTTGAAGTTCTCTCACCTTCTCTCTCTCCAGCTTTTCCTTCTCTCGCTGGCTCAGACCTGAATCGTCCATGATTGGCAACGGATTTGCGCTCCCACCCCTACCCTCTGCTCAACACTCAAAATACCCCTTCCCTCAACCTGTTAGAAATTCGTACCCAATCAAACAATTCCATGAAATTTCAAATACTCCAAAAGTATTTGAATATTCAAGAGCCATTTCGTCATAACTGATACCCCTCATTTCCCCTACCACCACCCCCTCCAGGATCACGAGAGAAAGGAAGTCCATAGAGCATTTAGCAAGGAGCTCACAAACGTCAGAGCGGAGGAGGAAGAGGAAGAGGAAGAGGACGAGGAAGAGAGACAAAGACCGAGTAAGAAGGATACGAATCAGGATGAAGACGGCAGGAACGAGCATCATTCGGTGCACTTGCCTGGCCCTCGCCCTGGTAGCCTCCTTGGTTCATTCTGCGCTGCTTCCAAGTCCAGCCCGTATCGAATGCCCTGCCCTGCCATCATCGCACCAACAAGTCCAGTGGACAGCACTGAAGCTTCGAGGAGGAGGGCCAAAGGAAGAGCCTCTCCTATGCCGACTGAAGAAAGGTACGATGCAAGGGCTGCAGTCTTGTCGTAAAAAAACGTGGTAGGAGGAATGCAGTTTGAGGTCATGTGTCTTCCTGGGATGGTGGACAAGGTTCGATCAACTGTGAGCCAAGATCCATCTGAAGCATGCACAGTACAGAGAAGGAGTAGCGAGCATGGAGGAAGTATTGGTGAGCATGGAGATGTTCAAGGTCAGACACGGCGAAGGGGAGGTACCGCGCGTGAGAGCATGAGGCAGGACTGCAAGACAGGAGATCGGCCGAGTACTGCAGACATTGAGAAGGCGTTCGGGCACAGGTTGTCTTCGTGCTGGAGGGTGAGCTGGCTTGCTGCTCACCGGGACACTGCAGTGATATGGGCAAATGTATTGAGGAGGTTCTATCCAAGGGAGAGTTCCAGGTGAGCGAGGAGGGGATCGCAACGTTGCCGCAGCGCTTGACGGCTCTCCTTGACCTTCTGGTAGCTGAGCGCGGCAGAGAGGAAGAAGAAGGTGGACGATAAGACCAAGCAGATCATCACCTACATCTGCGGGTTGACTTGCATCCGCCGCAGCAATTCGCTGAAGGGCAGGATGGCCTTGCAACAGGAACTTCATGGAGGGAGGAACCAACAAGCCCATCCCTGCTGCACGAGTGGAGGTAACTTGCAAGCTCTTCGTCTCCTCTTCCCTCCTTTCCTCCTCCGATGCTCGTTTGACCTTGCCGCCAGAATGGAATCCAATCGATCAAAGGACTGAAGATCGACCCCTTCCGGTATGGCCAACGGCTGCGATAGAGTCTGCTGAAGCTTGTCCCTCTCCGCCTCCCCAGATCCACCGACACTCAGGCGCTGGAGATCGTGAAGAAACTCAAGGAGATGTTCCCGATAGTCAAAAACGAGGTCACAACTCAACAGACTCGTGCTCCGCTTCTTGACTAGTTGCTAGATCTCGGCGACTGTCACCATCCCCATATCACTTGCGGGAGCTGGTGATGCAGGAGGAGGATAATATGGTGGAGTTTAAGCGTTCCCTCACAGCCTCAGGGATTCTGCACTCGATTTGCACTGTGCACAAGGAAAGCTACACAGACGAAAGCATGATGTGAGGGCTGGTGTGGGGAGGAGGTGAGGAAAGTGGCTCTGAGCCTGCTGCAGCTGCGACGTCGGGTTTCTGTCCGGCGACCATGAGAGATTTGTTGCTGAAATGACCAAGGTGAGCTGCTGGAAGGGTGAAGGTTGCCATCTTGACCCCAGGGCAGGCCACCAAGGGACAGTTCGAACTCAAGTTCAACGACATGCCGGCCCCACAGATGTAAAGGGATCGCAAGGTACCGAGATCGTTGCTGACTCGAGCGACAGGGAAGCCGAGGAGGGGAAGGGGAAGAAGGGCGGCAAGGGAAAGAAGGGCAAGTGAGCTGTGCAAGTGAGCTATTCCGTTCGATCTTCCGCAAAAACTTGTTTGGTAGTAAGATGGTGATAAACTCATGGAGCTTCGATGTGAAGAAACCTGCAATCTTACTCGGCAATTTTGGGGGTGGCGGCGAGCGCGAGCGCCATGTCTTCCTCGTTGAAGTCCGAGTCCTTCATGGCTCCCTGCCGACCGCGCCATTACGAAGAATCCTCGCCATGATCCGTTCCCCTCACCTGATTGAACTTGTCGTATGCCGCCATGTCAAAGTTCCCGTGACCTGGAGTATCGTGAGGCTGGTCGGTAAAGACAAGGCCAGGGCCTCTACCACAGAGGTTGAAGAGGATGACTTCTGACTTGCCCTCCCTCTTGCACCTGCAGCACTTTCGTCAGGCTCATCCTCTCCTGTCCTGCTCTTCCTACCGCAGCGCCTCCTCGATCGCTCCTTTCACCTGCTCGCTCCATCACTCTCCGTTACAGGTGGGCAGCAAGCATACCGCGTGGTTGGCTTCGGGAGCTGGAAGAATGCCCTCATGCTTGGCGAAGAGAATGCCGGCCTCGAAGCACTGGCCCGAGGGTGAGGGGCAGCTCAAGGAATACAGTCTGACTTCACCTCCGTCTGACGGTAGGCAACAGCCTCAAGCTCTCCAAGCTCCTGTTGCAAACGTGAGCGGGAGGGCTGAGAGGATAAGAATGATGCCTTGAGATGGCTGATAAGGGGTGCCATAGCGTGATAACGGAGGCCGCCCGCGTGATCAGGGGGGGGGATGAACTGAGCTTGTGGTCACATTCAGTCAAGTGAAGATACACACCCTACTGGATGGCCGAGGGTATGGCATTTGATCAATGGCGTCATGTGGCCTTGACAAGCCAAGTAAGCAGAGGAACAAGAGAACGGAACAAACAGACAAAGAAAGTCACTGACCTGTATCTCCAAAGTCGTAGGTATACTTCCCCTGTCATGGACATGTCATTCCTATCAGAAGACTTCATTGTAACTTGAGACTTTGGTCAAGGAGGGGCATGCAGCCGGTTCCACAGCAACGACCCTAAAAGACTTCTTGGCTTCGCCTCGGAACTTCTGCCCGATGAACGGGAAGCACCTTGAATTTGTAGGAGTCATGAGCAAGATTGATAAACATTTCTACTCGCTTACATGCCAGCAAAGTTCGAGCCTCCTCCTGTCATGGTCGATTTATGTTATAGGGCGCAACAACACAAGACAGGAGAACACCTGTGCAGCCCACCAACACATCAGGATAGTCTCCAGCCTTCTCCAGTTGAGAAATTGCTTCTTGTCCAATAATGGTCTACCAGCGGTCAGCGTGTACACTTAGAGCAGCAAGAAAGAAGAACCTGATGCATCAAAACATGGTTGAGCACGGAACCAAGAGCGTACTTTGTCGGAACTTCGCTCTTCATGCACGATTCGACCTGACATGGCCAAACTTGAGGGAACAGCATAATTTGGAACAAAGCAACTCCTTACAGCTTCTGAAATTGCGATGCCAAGAGAGCCAGTACACGCCGGGTCTTTCTCCAAAATCTTTTTCCCCACCTGGAGAGAGTCGTTACTACAAACAAACACTTGACCTTTCTTGTCCTGGACCTCTGTGCGATCACTCGGAGACGGGTAGCACTGGGCCCCAAACGTCTTCATGAAGATGCTCCTGTAGGGCTTTGTCTCTGAAATTCCAAATGTTAACAAAAGGAGCGCAGGGCTGCAAAACATTCAACGAATGCATACCATAGGACACCTTCACTTGGAAGACTTCGACTTCAAGGCTGTTCAAAGAAACATCGTCATCGTCGCCACTTCCAGATCTTTATGTCACCCGAAGCAAGAGCCTGCGAATGCCAGCGAACTTCCCCACTGTCCAGCTCCAGTCTCAGTGGAGAGCTTCTTCGTTCCGGCCTTCTTGTTGTAGTACGCCTGCAATCGGACTGAGAATACGAACTGTCAGGCAGCACAGCACCTGAGGAACAGCTGTGTTTGGCTTGTGGCTTCCTGTCGGAGAAACTCCTTCATATTTGTAGTAAATCTTTGCAGGAGTGCCAAGCGCCTTCTCCAAGGCTCTTGCTCTGTAGAGCGGGCTGGGACGCCAAATTTTATACACTTGCTGGACCTCCGGAGGAATCTCAATGTATCTCTCTTGAGTTACCTGACGGAGTTGTCAGAACTCAACATTTGACATCAGTCAGCTCCATCCATCACCTCCTGCATGATCAGATCTGGAGGGAAGAGAGGAGCAAGATCATCGGGGCCAACAGGCTTGTGGGTCCCGGGATGCAACACTGGGGGAAGTGGCTTGGGGAGATCAGCTTGAATGTTGTACCAAGCCTTAGGCATTTCATTTTCTTCCAACACATCTGCAGCAGCAAGGTTCAGGTGCGATATTTGCTGTTCGTCATATATAGTTATATAACATTCGAAACGACTACCACTCTGGCGTATTGTGACATGACAGTTGGGATAAGAATACTCATCAATTGCTAATTCCTTTCTCCCCTCTCTCCTCGCCGCCGCCCTCTACCTCTTCAAGAGAATTATCGTCTTTGATTTAGACAATCTTTACCAGCTTCCCTTGTACGTTCCCCTTTGCCCCACAATAACCAAGACCTTCATTCCAAGTCCCTGCTTCAACTTCCTTTCCTTGATCTATCTGTGTTCAATCTCACACTCAAGCTATCTCTCTCCTCGATGCTCTATCTGTGTTCAATCTCACACTCAAGCTATCTCTCTCCTCGATTCTCTCACTGCATGTTCACTTCTCTTCCCTCCTCTCATCGCGAACTTTCGCCTCATCCTCGCAACTTACATTTCACTTGCTCCGCCATGGTGACGTCTTGTAAAGGGCCGCAACTACGGTTTCGGTATGTTCCTCGAACAATTGGATTGAGTTGAATTTGTCTTTGTAATTTCAAATTACATAATCACAATTCCATATAACCTTGAACTGCTGATAACTAGTCAGTTTACCACCCACCCCCTTGGAATCCCATTTGCATGACCCACCAAGTGAAAGTACTAGAGTCAGTTAAGTCGCGGGGCCCCCGGGACAGTGGGCCGCGGCCGGGATCATAAAACTAGTAAACCGTTGAACTGATGAGTGCTTTGAGTAAGTAAAGATGAGTGATCAGGATTGGTTCTCCGAGTAACCGTTGAACTGTCACAGGCTTTTCGCTTCTCGCCGCGGGCCCGGCATCGGATGATCATCGATGCGGGATGGCCTCAGCGCCACCGTGGCACGGTCCGGCGGACTCGAGCCACAGTCGGTGCACCAGTGGCTGAGTACCATACGGTACTCTGTCCTCGTCTTGCCAAGTTGACTCTCATTTGTTCGAGAAAGTCACTTCGAGACAAACGTTCAGCGGCTGGCCTGACCGAGTCAACCGGCTCGGGTCACGGTGGCAACCGTTTCCGGCAGGTAACCCCGGGTGGCCCCGGGCCCGGGAGGGCCAGCATGTCAGTGAGTTTCAAAGTTTATTCAAGTTCGGAGGCGGCTCCTACAGTCCGACCGTCAACGCATGACAACGCATAACCGTCTTAGTAAACAGAAGCCTGGCCCCGCGGTCCGACTGACAAAAGGTGTCCGAGAGCACAACTTGGCAAGCTGAACATACAGAGAGCTCAACTTGACTCAGAATGAGTAGTATCTTAACGCCCCTAGATGTGCTCTATGTAGAATATCATCGGATCCCTGGTGGCCGAGAGCTGAGCGCCTCATCAGTAGGGATGGTTTTCGGAGTTCTCATTCCTGGTGGAAGAAGTGGAGCAGCCTAAGCTTGCGAGAAGCGAGAGCTCGCATGAGGCGAGTGTGCTCGTGCAGCAAGCCTATATAAGGATCCCAGGCTTGTCGTAGCCTACTTAAGGATCAGACTCATCAGCTACAAGGGTCCGTTCTCTCCTCATGTTGTATGAAGCGCTGATCTAGCATCGCTGGTAAACTCGACATCACTGTATTTCACCTTCATGGGTGATTCACAACTCGTAAAGCTTCGGGGTGTGACACCTCGTGGTTGTTTTGTAAATACGCGGGTACAAGATGCTTTCTATCAAAGCAAAAGCTCACCTCCTAGTATATTCCGGGAGGCCTGGCATGCATCCATTAGTTTGGATCAGATACCCATCAGTGTGATGCTGGTCTAAATCGGAAAACGAAAAATTAGGAGTGCAGTCGTTTTGCATTCAAAAAGATGAGCACGATGAAGAAATGTTCAATTCCCAACAAACTTTCTGAAAGTAAAAACTGATTTCATTTGCACACCTAATCTGCATGTTTCCTCTACTACGTATTGTGCCTCGTGTCGAAATCTGATGCGCATCAGTTGCGTCGGGGGGAGTTTCTTGATACATTTCAACAATCACTCGCAACAAGTGATAGTCAAAAGTGAGTCACGGAGCAGCTTGCGAATAACCCTTCGTGTCGGAACAGACATGTTTGTCTGTATCCAAATCTATCAGAGATAAACTAGAATGTTCCAAAAGGTATTGTCTCTTATCAAAATGCAACGTTTCGGATTTGACTGCTTCAAAAGCTCTTTACCATTTGGACGTGACTCAATCCGGACCTCCGACGGATAAAATATCCAACTTTAAAATCTTATATTGAGGTCTCTTTCCTATCTAAGGAAATAAAACATTATAGAAGTAAACAGAAACCTCTTTACCCTGTTTTACTCCCCTCTATCCCAGCACGGTTGGCACGTCCTGAAATTCGAAACGGCTTGTGTTTTCAATCCTACATGCGGCGCATGGTCTCCGGATGCCATTTCCTGGGGCTTTACTGCGCCTTCTTTAGTATCTGGCCGCGGAGTGGCTCCGAAAAGAGGTTTTTTCATTCAAGCGATGCGATTACTGTAATTGACAACTCGCATCTCTTTCTTGGGCCTCACGGCTCCCACGCAGGGGTATGGGGGTGATGAGGGCTAAATGAGGGGGTAGGGGTTAACTCGCATGTCGCTCCTAGTCTTATTTTTGTCTCTTTTTTGTATTTGTATAATATTAATGCGCTGGTACTACTCAACAAATGAAAAATCTTAGAATTAGAACTTAAACATCGAAAAATTTGAAAATAGAACGAAAAGGTTCAAGTTCTAGGTTCTTCATCATAAATTATCTGTCCTCTTGCTTTGCTTGCCCTCCACATCTCTTCCCTTTATTGCTCCCACGATTTCAGCGCCTGCCCGTGCAGACGCCAGGTAGTCGTTGGTCTCACACACAACCTCTATCCCCTCCCTCTATCTTCCTCACTCCAACACTGACCTAACATTGCTGCTGCTGTTTGGCAAGAACTCATCGTTGAGGTTGGGATCCCACCTCATTTCCACTGGATCCTCTGCATCTGCAACAACTATCTCTTCCTCCTGCTGATCCTTCGTTCTTCAAAGGATCAACATATTTTTTTCTCTCTGCCGTCATAGCCCGAAGGAGAGGTATCTATATCCATCCATCTCGTATCCTCTGGGGCTACAAGCAACACGTCATGCATGCACATCCAAGGTTTGCACTTGTACATCCTCGCAGAAAGCGTGGGGAGAGAGTCAGAAGCAGCTCGGAGGTAACCGTCACACTGGAAGATATTCAAGATCTCTTTCATCTCCGACAAGAGACTGCAGCTCAAACACTGGTAAATGTCTATTTATTCTGTTCCTTCGCGTAACTGATGTGAATTTGTTTTGATTTCAACAGGGAATATCGTTAACGGCCTTCAAGACGGCTTGCCGCCAACTTGGCGTTGCAAAATGGCCATATGCTCGTAGAAGATTGGATACAGAGCCGGCTGAATCCAGCGAGCCACCACAGACATTTGATTTTGATGCCTTAGGAAACCGCAATTTCACATTTCAGCCCGTGCATGACCATCGCCCAGAATGGCCAATCATCGGAGCCTCTTCAGTTTGGGTTCCTTTTGTCAGGAAGAAAGACATACAAGTTCCGCCTGACAGCCCAGCTCAAGAGCTCGTTGATGATCAGGGATCAAGGGAAGATCAAGACGGTCGGGATATCCTCAGCCCACATGTTGCGCTGAATTCATTGTTTCAAGAGGCTTTGAAACATGTGGAGGGTGCCTGATGAAAGCAAGATGAGCAGATTTTATTGATTCTTTGATGTAAATAAGATAAAACGAGCTTCAAATCTCAGAAACAAATTGAAAAATTTGGAAGCAAGTAGTTTGGTAATCTCTTTAATATCCCGGAATTGACACATGAGCCTCTCACGTTGATGTCATGTTATCTCTGTTGTGGGGTGTATCCAAATTCACTTTTCGTCCCTTGGGAATGATCCCATAGTAGTTCAACTTCGGATGAGAGGACAAATAGTGCGTCTGCAAATGTGTAAGCACAAAAAATATCAACGGGAAAGATGCAACCTTGATGTGTGGGAAGATAACCGTCGGTTTGATTGCTGGCATCTAAAACGAGTTTCAACATACAACTTGGTTATGAACAAGAGTCATCACCTGGTAGATTTCTTTCATGTAATTGAACATATTGGGATAGTCATCAATGCGGGATTGATCTGTCTTGAAATAAACCACATAAACCTTCAAACACATGTTAGATCTCAACAAAGCTTGCTTTCTCAAATTACCGGATCGAAGCGGATCAGAGTAACAAACAAACGAATATCCGCAACAGTGATTCTGTCTCCCACAAGATAACGCTTTTTGCTTAAAATCTCCTCAACCCTACAATCCAAACATAAACGAGAAAAGAGGAAAGGGTGCATCCACTTTACCTGTCTAGCGACTCAAAAAGTGCGTCGAAGGCCTTTTCGTAAGCATCCTGTTTCTGAGCGAAGCCACATCGGTACACTCCGTCGTTAATACGAGGATAAATCCATGAGTTAACTTCATCGATCTCCTTCCTCAAGTCTTCAGGATATAAGTCGAGATCAGGATTTTTGGCGATACTGTTGAAAGCTGAGTTGAACATCAGGATAATGTCTGATGATTCGTTGCTGACTATCGTTTTCTTCTTCTTATCCCAGAGCACTGGGACCGTGTACTTCCCTTCTTTGTCTCCGGCGATCTCGTACAGCTCACGAATGCTCTTCGCGTTGTTGACAGTGTCCGGGATGCAGTACGTGCACGGAAAAGATCCGTGACCGTTCAAGTTCGAGACTGGAGGATCGGAAGGATCTCTGAACATCCACCCGATATGCTCGTCCTAGTCCTCCAAACGTCACCACGACGAAGAGAGAAGCGCGAAAGTATTACCTCTTCTGGTTTCGTGCGTTGCCATGTTGGATGGACCACGCTGACACCGATCGCGTCCTCCAAGCCTTTCATCTTGAGCAATATCAAACATCTATCAAAAATCATCAGATTGAAATTCTGATTTTTCTCCATTAGACACCTATGCGCCCATGGGCAAGCATAAGAGATGTACAGATGGTATCTGTCTTTTTCAGGAGGGAAACTTTCGCTGCCAGGCTGGTTTTGTCTCAAACGATCTCAAAAATATCTTCAAAGCAAGAGTACCTCAACCCAATTACACCAAGCAGCTTTCTTTCTTTTGAGCTCTCCCGACTCATCCATTTCATCCAAGGTGGTGCGGGGACGTACTTTATTGACTTCAGACATTTTGAATGCAGAAAACCTGTATCAAACAGTCAAATCTTCGCTATTGACGTCTCTTTCAACATCAAAATCCTACGTTCTTTGCTGCCTAGCACAAGCAACTGGTTTGAAAAGACTGGGAGGCCCGATATTCCGTGTAGCGGAGGCTCTTAGGCCCGATAAAGCAAACGGTTTTATGGAAGAGAAAGCCAATGAAGTTTGGAAGGGCACAGATAAAGCAAAACAGAATAAGGGAAGTTTGTTCATAAAGTATGATGATTCCTCTCTTGTTTAGCCTATGGCAATGTCGCTTAGAACATTTGAAAAGCAAGGAAGAGAGCACAGAATAAAAGTTGCATATGCATGTTTGATGAGTCTGACAGCGAATGATTTCTAACAACAAGAATGATGCCTCGTTGATGTCATCAAGTACGTTGTGCCAGCTAAAAGGAAGAGTTTTTCATCGACTATCTGATGCGGTGAACTGGGATACGAGCGATAAGTTGGGGTGAGGGGTAAAGGGGGCTGTGCGAAGATTGTAAGGGGTTCAGGTTGAAAAATGAAGCGAATTCAAGAGGAGGGAATGGCAGAGGGCGGCATAAAAAAGGAATCGGACAAAACTATGAAATATTTGACGGAGCAAGAGGAGGAAGGCAGTTCGACTAGGACGCAAGGTTCACACCGGATCCCTGCAAGAAAGTCGGAGGGGAAGGGAGTCGAAATCAACTCGTCAACATGTAACGTGTGTTGTTGTGAGAGTCATCAGTGATGATGAGGTGAAGAGTTTGATGCCATGAGAGATTATGTTTGTGAAGAACATGGTGGGTTTGAAGGAGTTCCTGTCTGATCCCAGCGTTATGTACGCCTCGTATCCGCAATCTATGTTGAGGAGCAAACCCTACCTCATAAAAGATAATGTTCAGGGTAGTCCAAGGTAGGGTGGTCGTCGCGTGTGGGTGGGGGTAATATTTTTGTGTTCTATGACCGGTGATAGAAAAGATATAAAGGGGGGGTAGAGGGGTGCTGTATCCTGGTTGTGACAGCGGGTGCTCTGAAGGTTGCAGGTGGTACCTGGTCGTGCTGACAATTAAAAAAAAAAAGAAAGTTGTAAAGCAACCTACAATTCCGTGAATGGCCCCGGTGAGTAAAACTTTTGAGCTTGTGATCGGTCACTGAGACTCCCGAGACTGGGCCGGCCCGTTACCTCGAGGGCCCCGGGTACTGACAGGTACCGGCACTCGGAGTGACTGAAGGGCCCCGGGCCCGCCAAAGTATTTTAAAAGGGGGTGCGACGGTCGTCGAAGAGTGAGGGAGGGGTTAGTTTTACTGACATCAGACGGGGAATCATAAGGGTGGGGTCTAATCTGTACTTTGCAAGGGTGGGTAGGGTACCGAGGGTTGTCCAACCGGTCCCAAGAAAAATGAGGCGCATCATGGTGGTGGGATACGTCGCATGCTGCTCTGGCTTCCTAATGCCGCCGAGCTACCTTCCCGCTCACCTTCAAGCTCCTCGCGTCTCGCTGTCCTCTGAACCATCAGCTCATCCGGCGGTCTCCTCTCTCCCTTGGTCCTCTTCCTCTTGCCACCTCCCAGGGCAGCTGCAACAACGCAAGACGGCTGTTGCGCGTTGCAAACCGTCCCACGATGGTACACTATGCCACAATAGAGGGCGCTCTTCGTTACTGTCTTGATTGCAGGAGATGAAACGAGGCATCAGTCAAGCTTGCAAGCTGTTTTTCCCATGTTGGCCGGGTATTAACGGACTTGTAGCAAGAACCAGATTTTGACCAACATTGCAGCGTGGTAGTTGCTACGATGATGAATATAGTCCTATCCTCCCCTGCATTTGCTGAGACGGTCGCACAGGTGGAAGATTATTCTCGATTCCGTGGATCTGACATGATAAACAGGACGTGGAAATCCTCAAAGTCAAACAAGGGCTCCCGCAGGAGGTCGGAACACTCATGATCTTGCCCTTGATAGTCTACAAGATCTTCGCCTTGTCTCGAGGGGTGAGGCTGACGGCAAGTCTCGACTTCTCTATCCTTGCAGCCGTAAGGAGATGCAGAGGCGGAGGTGGAGATCTCACCGTTGCAAACAGGTCCTTGCCTACTGTAACCGATATTTTTTGTAATTGGACAACTCGTGTAAAAGACACTAGCGCCAATAGAATGAAGAGGATCCGAGTAAAGTTCTCAAATAATTGTACATGACCCATGGACGGGCATCACATGATTTCAAGTTCTAATTGGCTAAGGTGTTGGGTTTGAATCAAGTCGTTGATATCCTGAGAGGAAGTGAGGGAGGAGGCAACGTTGAAACCTGATTCTTTGGTCCCTCCATGAAAAGCAGACAGGTCAGTCGTCATGGCCTTCAACTTATTCAGAATCGTTGAGGCGACGGCAAGGTGCAGGTCATCAGGACGAAGAATCTGCAACAGAACGTCGGCCACGGCCAAAAAGAAAAACAATTGGGGCATACCACTTTGAATCCCAAGTCCTGCAATGCATTCTTGAGTTTACCACCAAACTTGTTCCAGTCATCTTCTTGTTGAGGATGCAGGTATAGGACGCCGCAGGCAGAACTCCCAAGCCTCTCTTTGACCCTCTTCAGCGTCTCTATGCCCTCAGGCAAGATGCTCCAACAGTCAAGGATGACCCCGTCGATCCCACATGCCATGGCTCCTAGGAGGCGCCGCGCTATATCTCGCTCAGTGTCGAGAAGTTCCGATGGCTTCATCCCCCGACAGGACATGGAAGTCCGTGCGAAGATGAGAACCTCGTCGTTGGTCCGAGCGTTGACAGCTGATTTCAAACAAGAGAAGAACTCGTCCGCATCAACCACGTCATCGTTCGTCATGCTCTTGGATCGATCCCCAAGGACGACAGCGCCAACCCCCATGCTTTCTAGGAGCTGCATGTAGTAGATGGCTTCTCTTCTCGTCTCGAAGCAATGAGGATGGTCGGCGAAGATCTGTATGAGTGTGAGGAGAATGGGGAGGAAGGAGGAGCGAGCTTACCTGCTTGAGAGGAAAGGCTGGAGAAATCTCAGAGAGGGCTGTCTTGTAGTCACTCCAAGAGACCAGAGAGGCGTGAGGGAGTCCAAAGCGGAGACAAGCAGAAGATTCAGAGAAGACGATTGCGGGGATTTTTAGCTTGGAAGCGAGCTTAGCCGTCCACATCTCACTTATGCCTGGCAATACGAAGAGTTTTCTCTGAGATTTGTCATTGACTCGTTCAAAACAAAGTTCTCTCAAACTAGACCGCGCTTCAGTGTTCTTTGACTCTCTGGAATCCTGGTTTTGGGTCTGCAGCTTTACATCACTCCAAGTCATAGTCTATCTCGCGCATACCTGTTGCAAACGGTTCTCATCTTGTTCGGTATGACATGAAGGCCTCCTCCTCTTCATCGAGTGAGTAGCGAACAAGTCTTCTTCTTTCAAAGAATCAAGAGATTCCTCCCTGTCTTCCGATTCCACACCATCCCTGTCTTCGACTTCCGCATCTTCTGCGACCTTCATCCCCCCACTTTGCAAAGCCTTGGTCATCATCTTCAGCTGCTCACGTAGAAGTTTGTTCTCATTTTCCAAAGATTTCAATTTTTTCCCCCTGTTACCCTCCAACCCATCATCGGCTACAGAGTCACCTCCACTTTGCTTGGAGTCGTCAAACTTTCCCAGCCCAGATTTTTTGATAACGCTCTGAGCTGCTCTCTCCTCCTTCAACATTTGCCTGAGCGAATATTTCCCTTGTGTTTCCTTCTTCTTCTGATGAGGCTTAATCTTCTTGTCAAAAATCTTTGCAACCAATCTCTCCATCTCCTCGATCTTGCCACGTTCCATTACATTGGAGTCGATTCTGTGAGAGGAGCAGATTCAGAACAGATTTAATTGCATGACGTAGCTGACCTCGAAGAAATAGAATCAGACTCAAAGTTTTTTATTCGTTCTGGGAGCTGTTTCAAGAGTTGACTTCGTTCATCAGATAGCAGGGCTTCATCCATGAAAAGCAAAAGCAACACAAGCAGCAAAGGCTGGCTGTAAATCACTCTCCCAGACATGTCCAACACACGTTGTTTAGATATTTCTCAAAACAATGATCCACGCAAGTCGTGACATCCTGTTAATGCAGATTAATACCCAAAATCGAAATCCATAAGTGGACTAGAGACATTACACGCAATACAAGAGTATTCACACAAAAAGATTGGCCAATGGGATCCACCAATGTCTTGCTAATTGTTTTCTACTTGATTTCTTATTTTTCCTCCTTTCTATATTTTGCTCGCCTTTGTGTCAGGCCTCAGCACCTTCTTATCTGCTGTCTGACTCTGCCTCTGCCTCTTCCTCTGCCTGTTTCCTTCAAGGTATCCAGTTGGGTCTGTGTGTTTGTCTTCTTTCTTCGTCCTTCCTTGCATGCTACCTCTCTTATGAACGGCTTCCACAAGCTCTCGATCCTCCATGTCAACATTCTTACTGAACCGTGCATCACTCGGTTTTTGAAATTCGAAATCCAGGATCAGCGACTAATTTACATTGATAAGTTGGATTTCTGCCTTTTATGTTTGCCTATGCAAATTCTGAGGCGCACTGGATAAATTTATATAGCTAAAAGCATTTCTTTTTTATAACATGCTAGCTGATAGGTTTTTCGAAGTACGCCCGACAGGAACAGATACGACGCTGGTCATTCAGACATGAGGATCAGGACGGGGGGGAGGGGGGGGAAGAGAAGGGAACGAAAGCTGTAGTCACTCTTCTCGTGTCGTATCCACTTCAACCAAGAGCAACAGATGACGTTGTTCCGCACAATCACTTTGATAGCGATTTCGTCTGTTGCCATAGCTCTTCCTGGAAGTTTTATGTTAGATGAGATGGAACCAACAGACATTGCGTTTGCGTTACAAAGACTTAACATGTCCTCAAATACGATGGAGGCGGTACTTCAGAACCAGGTGGATGGAAAGTTCTTATCTACTCTTGACTTGTACGGCTTGTGTAATGAACTCGTTATGGATGTTGATTCGGACGCTTGCTTCGAGCTGTACGCATGGAAAGAAACTTTGCGCTCGCAGCATCCCATGCACCCAAGAATGAGCTTTCTCGAAACTCACATTCCTCGTTGGCTGGATGCTTACTCAGCCACGCACAGGAGGAGACGAAATCGGCTGCCATCTGAAGACAACAAGGTTCTGATATGGACCTGCGGGCCGTCCGGGTTTTCTTGTTCAGGATGGGGGAATCGCGTGTTGGGAATCGTCTCTGCTTTCATGCTGGCAGTTTTAACCGACAGAGTGTTCTACATTCATTTGGAGGAGGAAGACACAACTAGAATCGACAATTTCTTCCTCTCGGACCTGATTGACTGGCGGATCCCAAAGCACATGTCCAGTAGCATATCACCATACGGCAACGATTCGGACTACATTGCAAACTTTTTCCCTATCACTGGGCAGGAATTGAGCCAGCAATTCCGACAATTTGCTCCTGCCGAGCTCGAAAACTCGAACACGATCTGGCTCCGTGCTTCTCATGGCCTATTCACGGATCTCTGGCAGAACGTCAAGTTTGAGGAGAAGCTGGCAGATTTTTCATTCTGCGATGTCGATCTTACGTATTCCATCCTTTCCAGTGCTCTCTTTCGTCCGCATGGTGCACTTGCAGACGAGATTGTAAAACTAAAAGCCATGGTCAACGATCGATACTTGATTGGTCTTCAGATTCGATTCATCGAAGAGTCTCGGCTCAACATCTCTCACTTGACGAGGTTCTTTGACGTTGCAGAACAGATTGAGAGAAAGGTATTGCATGTTTTGCGCTTTTGTGTTTCTTGAACGTTCAACAGGAAGGCATTACCCAAGGACAAAGCGTGTGGTTCTTAGCCACCGATTCAGAACAAGTTGTGAATGTAGTGGCACAGAGCAAATACTCTGACAAGATTTTACATTATCCCGGGCCCGTCAAGCACTTGGCAGATGCTGACTTCATGAACAACTACAGAGAAGCGCTCAAGGTGTTCTTAGACTGGTGGATGCTGAAGGAGTGTGATGCAGTCGTTGTAAGTGGTGACAGCACATTCGGGGTTTCGGCGTACATGACGAATTATTACGACAGAAAAGTGGCAGGAAAGGCATGGAATCTGTATGCAATATTGTATTGCAGTGCTCAAATGTGCTCCCCTTGTCACAGCGATTTTCAACCGCACATTTGTGGGCCCAGCGACATTTGCTTTAACGGATTGTACGGCTTCACTCTGACCGACCATCTAACTTGCTCACACGATTTCCTCACATCGAAATGTGTTGTCGGGCTATCAAAATCGAAGGCCTCCTCTTTCAGGGAGCTGCTAGGCGAGTCACATTGGTACAGGTCGAATAGGTCTGTGGCAAGGAATGCTGTGCTGCATATCGTATGGCCAAGACGCCAACAATCTGTCAACAGTTCCAGACACGGTTTTTTTCCACTCAAGCTTGAAATGAGGGGTGTTCCATCGAAGTTCTTTCACGCATGCAGTATGAGAATCATCTTCAACGGGTTAGATTCGGTCGTCGGAACACTGTCTGAATTTCAGGAAGAGGGATTCTGCCGAACAGGAAAAATGCAATGTTTCCCCTCCGGTATCCATCTTCTTGCAGTGTTTATGTGCTAACATCCAATTCGAGGCTGTGTCCCCTCGCCTTCAACTTTGGTTACCTGTCATCTGAATCTGGACATGAAGATTCCGCACGGTCTGACTTTGTTGGGTAAGTTGATTGTCCTGGCAACTCGTCATCACATCCCTGAATTTACTTTTTTTTTTACAGAAGTTTCATTAGATTGCAAGTCAAAGACGGAGGTCTCGCTTTGGAAATCAGTGTCGTTCTACTACGATTGACCCTCGTCGTTCAAAAGGATTTCTTTTCTCTCCCCACAATGAGTTCGCCGGCTGTATCCTCCTTCTACCAGCTTCTCTCCTCCAACTCATCTCCTTCCGACCAACCTTGCAACTATTTCTACCGGTTCCTCCCCTGGACTCTGTAACACATTCGCTTGACTGCGCTAGCGCTCCCGTGGTCAAGGAATGTACCGCACAACGAATCATCCCCCTCTTATCCGCCTTATTTTGTTGACCCCCATGAGATAAAAAGAATATCCCAAAAAATGGATAAAATTTAGTTATAGCAAGATAAGAGCAACAACATGAATCGTTTGGAAATGCTGACTTAAAATAATGTAAACATTGATCTCAAGGCGCTTATGGCCCTTTCATAAGGGCCAGAGCCTGTTGTACCCTGGTTTACAGGGTAAAACCACCCCACCTTTACAACCGTTGAAAAGACTGTCTTTCGAAGCCACTACTCCGGTACCTTGCGACGCCCATGTCCTTCTCCCAGTGGGAACCTTGATGAAGCAAGGTATGCAGGAACCTACATCTACACACAGCACCCAGTGATCTATGTCTCTCATAAAATCTCTATCATGATTCGGTAAAAACTCAAGGATACACTCATTAATCTAATCCGGATTTGCTGGACAACATGTGTAATTCAGGCTGATGCGTTAATATACCAAATAAGCACGAACAAAATCAAAGATTTGAAACACAAACAAAGCCTGCTTCATATGTTTTCATTTGTATTAACAAATTCAGAAAAGTCGTACAACTCTTGAAGTATCTCTAAAACATCAGAATTTTGACCGTTATCGAATAAGACGGTTGCAAAGAGAAGAAAAAGAAGAGAAGAGGAGTTCCCAGAGAATAGCGTCACGTTTTTCAGCCGAATACTTTTGATAAAGAGATAATGACTGCACTTCATGAAGATTGGGTTTCCTTTTGTGACAGGTGTCTGCTATTCGTGGTTGTGTACGTTCGCAAAGCATTGTGACAATGACCGATGTTGTGGACACGTTGAAAACCATTGTGAGAAAAACCCTGCACATGTAGCAGCGCTTCGTCAAACAGTGTCAGGAATTCATGATACTCTGCAGTCGGGGATGTTGTGCTTTGAAGTTCGAGGCTGGTTGAGTCCTGATCCGATGCTTCAGCAGATTCGTCGTTGTCATCTGAAGAGGACAACTGTTGTTCTGCAGATCTTTGATCTCGATGAACAGATGTAACACTGCCCTCAAAGTTGCTCCAGGGTACCAGTCGTTGATGAGTTTCTTGATTTGATTGACCCTCTGCCTGTCTGGAATATGGCCATCGAGTCAATCCTAGCTGTCGGCATGCACTTTTGAATGCTGTCAATGATATTCCCTACACGTAAACGTCAAAGTTATTCTACGAGCAAAAGAACAGATAAGAGTGAAACATAAAAACTTCATGACAGAGGTGCAACGATTCATCTATCTTCCATCACAACCTCTTGCAGTGTACCAACTTCTTTTGCACACATCGTCATATGCAACTGGACCTGGTAGATCACTCACCATTGTACGAGCTGCGTCAGCCTGACGCAAGTGGGATAGTTGCATGATATCTTCTAAGCTGATTGAGACATGATCCTGGAACCTCCTGCTCTCTCCCCGCTTCTTTCGAGGGAACACATGCGCGAGGCGAGGGGCCAGCATGGCCAGGAGGAGTGGCGGGCAGATCTGAGAGGATTGCTCGTCGTGAAAAATAAAAATAGAATGGATATTGGAGGGTAGGGTGGTCAATTGGTAACCCCATAAAATCAATAAGGGGGTGGCTCTGACGAGGTCGTAGCCGGTCTAAGAAAAAAGGCCAGAGGGAGGTTGTATATCAGCGATGACGGTGGGGTGGGGGTACTGTTTCTGAACGCGAACGGCTAATTATAGGGGGTAGTTGCTCTCGGTGCATCTCTTACCTCGGGGGTAGGGTGGATTGCCATGACTCCTTTGATTTGCCATTTTTAAATTTTTGTTTTTATTTGATTTGATACCCTGGATTTGCAAGGGAAAACCACCCCTCTACCTCCCTGGCTCCTGTCGAGGTTGCTCTCGAAGGACCCTTTTGGAATGTTCATGACTGGTGGGGTAGTTAGTCCTACATCCAAAGGGGGAGGGAGGGGTGGGGCTGTGAGTTCTTCTTCTGCATGCCCGAGGCGAGCATGTATCTCGGTTTCCCATGACTCACCCTACCCCCACCCATTTTAGCCAGTTGAATCGAAAATACACCAGAGCCCCCACCCTCCAGACCATTAAGAAGAACCCCGACCCTTGCCCCTGGGAACCCCACCTACCCTTCTGAAAATGGAGATTCGGGCAGAAAGTTTTTCTTTACTCAACAGTGAAGTAGGTCGGCAATTGCTCTTATCAGGTTCTCCTACCTTCCTAGGCCACCCACCTACCCTGCGAGTGATGTCAGCAAATCGTCTGAATCGTTGCGTTCATATGAAGGCCAGAAGGTTGGGTATCCGAAAACAAAACTCCTCATAAAAAGTCGTTATTCTCGGAGGACCGTAATCGAAAAATCGTTTTACAAGGAGGCATAAAACTGTTTTTGATACTTCGTGTAAAATTACAGCACTCTTACTACTTGGTGTCCAGCACCACATGCTCGCTCCCCTGGCAGCGAACCGCAGTGGAAGCCCACAATCTGATCAAGCAACCAACCAAATTTCAAGAGATACAAATTTGATCTGTTCATCGTTTGAAACAACTCCTGGCCTCTTTGTCTTGTAAAATTCCCTCTCTCAATCCAATCCTTCTTTCTCTCTTTATCTGTGCTCCTCCAAGCTCCCTCCGCATCCCTCCCGCATCGCACCTACGTCTACCCCCGCAAGAAACATGGAGAAGCCCAGCGCGGATCCGATCGCGTCGCCCTCACCTTGGAGTCTATCTCCAAGCTTGTCGACATGAAGCAAGTCGACGCCGCCAAGACATTTGTAAGCTTGCTGATGTGACTGACATGGGTCGTCCGCTGACCTTGAGGTGCCCAGGGGCTATCGCTGACGGCGTTCAAGAGCGCTTGCAGACGCGTAGGCATCCATCGATGGCCGTACCTCCGAAAGCAAGGCGCTAGCACAGAGCGGCAGGCGTCCTTGGCACAGGGGAGGCGGGCAGGCAGTGAGGGAGACTCGACCTCTGAGGAGCCTGAGGAGGTCTCAGGGCAGGAGGAAGGAGAGACGGAGGGCGTGGCGAGGCGGAAGCCCGTCTGTCTCTTGCCGATCGAGAGCCTAGTCAATACAAGCGAGGCGAGGCCTTACTCACCCAGCAAGGAGAGCTCGGGATACTGGTCGCCAACGCACAGCAGAGAGCAGCACGATCTTTTCGACGAAGCGCTAGATCATGTGCTGTCGAGATACTGGTCCATTCGCTTTGTTTATATCTTGTAGAAAATCAAAATCAATTTTCTCTTCCATGAGCCATCAAGCTTTTTACCGTACTACAGTACGGAATTCGTCCGATTCCTTTACCGTCTCAAAAGACAGCGACAACCAAACCCACTGATCCTGCCAACTGCGGGCACTGCAGACACAGTCCAAGTTGCGTCACCGTCTGGCAGCCCCCCGGCGGAGCGCAAGTCGAGGGCCGGCCGCGGGCGCGGCGCGCGCGGCCTGTGCGGCCAGCCGCCTGAGCGGCCGCGCAGCCTACTACCGTAGTACCGCCGGCTACCGTACACGGGGCCGCCGGCCCACCGCTCTTTACTAAGTTACTCAAAGTTACTGTAGGCATTGCAGTGCGGCGCGGCTTTGGCAACAGCAACCCACGGTGACCGCCGGGCGGATCGGACCGAGGGTTCGGTCGCCGTCCGATCGATTCAGATTGGCGGGCGCCGGGCGGATCTCTGACTGTGGCCCAAGTTTACTCAATGGCAACTGGTGCCGTGACCTGACGTCCGTCTTTTACTAAAATGTTTTGACGAGCGCCGACTTTTAGAGGTGTTGACGTGCCAATCGGAGGGTCTCGGTATACCCCGTCGGGAATGTATCACGTTGCGGCTGATCCGATCGCCGGCCCGGGCGCTTCTGAACCTGCCACAAGCCAGCCAGTCAGCGAAATCAACGAAGGATTCAAGATACCATTGTATAGATTGTTTTCTATAAGTGCAATTAATGAGAAAATGCCTATCCTGCCACCTGACACTTTCTAGCCTCATGGAGGGTGCTCGGTGAGAAAGGGACATAGCGGACTAAAAGTGTTTTTGGACTCCAGGGGCGAAGAAAGCAACCCTTCGCGATACGGTGTTGTTTTCAAGGACATCACGTTACCTTGGTGTAAGCAAGTTTGGAGGGCTATCCAATTACTGTTTAGCTCCCTTGGTGACCCCCTCACACCCCCGCCCCTTCCTCCTCTTCTTAAGACCCCGTCCTCCCGTCCATCCACACCACGTCCCTGAATTGTGTTGATCCCTAGAGAGCCTTTCCTGCAATCTTCACGACTTCCCTTGGCGAAGCTGGTCATCCATCCCTAGTTCACCTCTCCTATCCCTCAGCAATCCTGTATCCTTGCTGACCTCTTTCTCACTGGCTCTTTCTTCTTTCATCCTCGCTAATCTACCCTCCAAGGCCTCAATAGAACTTCCTCGATAACCCTCCCCCACTGCCCCTCAAAGCTTCCTCCGCCTTCTGGATCCACACCCAGCCATGACCCCCTCCCCTCCCCGTCATCCCCTTCCCTCCCTCCCGCATCGCACCTACGTCTACCCCCGCAAGAAACATGGAGAAGCCCAGCGCGGATCCGATCGCGTCGCCCTCACCTTGGAGTCTATCTCCAAGCTTGTCGACATGAAGCAAGTCGACGCCGCCAAGACATTTGTAAGCTTGCCGATGTGACTGACATGGGTCGTCCGCTGACCTTGAGGTGCCCAGGGGCTATCGCTGACGGCGTTCAAGAGCGCTTGCAGACGCGTAGGCATCCATCGATGGCCGTACCTCCGAAAGCAAGGCGCTAGCACAGAGCGGCAGGCGTCCTTGGCACAGGGGAGGCGGGCAGGCAGTGAGGAAGACTCGACCTCTGAGGAGCCTGAGGAGGTCTCAGGGCAGGAGGAAGGAGAGACGGAGGGCGTGGCGAGGCGGAAGCCCGTCTGTCTCTTGCCGATCGAGAGCCTAGTCAATACAAGCGAGGCGAGGCCTTACTCACCCAGCAAGGAGAGCTCGGGATACTGGTCGCCAACGCACAGCAGAGAGCAGCACGATCTTTTCGACGAAGCGCTAGATCATGTGCTGTCGAGTTGAGGAGTTCAAAAATAGGAGCTTGTCAGCATTCTGATGAGTCATGCAACTAGAGTGGGCCATTCGAGCTGGTGGTTCAACGGTCCAGTGCTTGTACGGTACTACCGTAATTTAACAGACGGTTCGGGCAAACTTGTAACTTGTGGCGTTGAAGCCTCGCCATGCTTCAGCCTTTCGAGTTTTTGTGTGTATTCGAGTAGTGATAAGTAGTGTTCTAATTAAAGCCGCTGCTAGAAGCCTGAACCTGATTCTGAGGCTTGCAATACCGTACTAGGCTCAGTCCGGCGGTCAGGTGCGGCGCGGCACTGCCGCAGTGCCGGACTCGCCTCAAGCCGCAGCGCCGCGCCGCGCCGCCACGGTGCTTTACTGTACGGTCCCTCACTGTGACCGTCGTACACAGTCGGATCGGGCCCTCAGCGGGTGACTCAGTGACTCAGAGGGCCGCCCGGCCGCCCGGCCGGTCACTGAGGCTGCGGCCGGGCCGGCGGCCTGCTGAGGGCCCGGGCCGGGCTGAGCTGGACTCCCGGGCAGCGCCAGGCGGCCGGCACGGCGGGTGGCCCGCCGGGGGCGGCCCCGGCCGACCGTCACGTTCAACAAGTGACTGAAACCGACTCAGTGGGCCTCAGCCTACGGTCGCCGGGTCACTCAGGGCCACCGAGTCCGTGACCGTACACCGCGAACGTTCAGCGGACCCGGCCCGGCTCGAGCCTCCGACGACGAGGGCCCGGCTGCCGTGACAGTGATCGGACTGCCCGGCCCGGGCAAGGCCGCCGGGCCTCGGACTCAGTGCCTGAGGACCTCCCGGCGGGGCCGCCGGGGCCGGGGCCCGGCCCGGCGGGCCGAGTGAGAAAAGTTTCACTTGCGGCAAGCCCGCTTCAGTTCCTCGCCGGTCGGGGAAGATGTCGGGGATCAGCAGGGGATGGTTGGCGACGTGGATGCTGGGAGCGATGTTCATCGTTGCTGTGAAGGTGAAGGAGGAAGAGGAGGGTGCATCGATGGAGGGAGAGGGGAAGGGGAGGGGAAGGGAGAGGAGATTGAGGCATGAAGGAGAAGGACATACTCTATAAGGCGGAAAAAGTTGTTGAGAACAATTTGGTTGATACGAAGGGCGGGCAGTGAGGAAAGCAGGACAAAAAATGACAGTCCATCGGCAGAATTCAGCTGAATCATCAACATGTAGAGTCATCTTTATGGGATTATCTCACACCAATACTGCCCCTTTGTTCATTTCGAGGATCTCCGTTAGTTTACCAGTTGGTCATCGTCTTGTGTTTCAGGGATAGTGTGAATGCTGCTACAGGGAACGTGTAAAAGGCTGTGTGAACGCGTAAAATGTGACAACTGTCACGTACATGGATGGTAGGAGCAAAGACATTCAGAGTCTGCAATCACGAGAGGATAAGCAAGAGAACCACTCAACTTTGACCACGAGCAGGAGTAGGAGAAGGAGCAGGAGAATCAGCAGGAGCAGAAGAAGGAGAGAGAAGGAGCAAGAGAAGGAGCAGGGGTAAGTGCAGGAGCAGGAGCAGGTGGGAAAGGAGTAGAATCCTCTCATAAGAAAAGTCTATTATCCCTTGGTCTTGGAATTTGAATTCCTGGTCACCGGACTGAATGATCTTGGATTGGATTGCAGGGCAACGGACAATGTTTCATCAACTTCCTAGACGGTAAGGGTCATGCAGATGTGAAGGAACTCTGATGCTTGTTCGATGAACAGGCTGTGTGCGCCATCCGGATTTTAATGGTCTGAGAGACGATTCCAACATAGCGGTGAGTCGTTCCTCTAGCTCTTGCTGCCAAGACCTCACCCTATCCTGCAAGTATTCCACCATGCAGGTTGGAGAAGTGGAGGGTAAGTGCCTTGCAAGAGCAAAGGACTACTTTGAATGGTGCGGAAACAATCCGACGCAACAAATCATCGCCACGTTCATTCCTACGGGAAGCCAGCACGTCTTTCCTCCAGACGAAGAGGTGGAGGAGGCGATAATTCAGGAGGAAACCCAAGACCCTGCCGGAGAGAAGTCAGAGGAAGCCAAGGAAAAAGCGAAAGCAGAGAGAAATGTATGTCTCACCTTTTACCTTCTTCTGTGAAGATTTGCCTGTTGCCAGGTAGAGGCGTCGACAAGTCTGTCGAAAGTTCTCCTTCACTTCTCACAAATGGCAACTGTGGACAACTTGATGTACACATTCGCTGCCATTGTAGCAGCAGCTTTTGTTCGTCTCTTATTGTCATTGTGGTCCCTCTGCCTTCAGTGCTGGCGCTCGTTGGTAACGCTCGAGCATGACGATACTTCATGATGACTTGCTACCTTAGGAGAGCCGCTTCCTGTGCAGAAAGATCGATTGGACTTTACCTGACAGACAGAAACTGATCAGCGAGAGCAGCAGGTAAAGTTTCTTGCTACCTCGCATGCTGACGGGCAGATTGCACGAAAGCGACAAGTGGAAGAAGGAGAGACTGGGGATAGAGCTGGAAGGAATTGTTTATGAGGTGGCACAAGGTGTAAGGAAAGAGCAGGAAAGCAAATTACAAGCGCGTTTGGTACGTATGCAGCTATGGAGGAGGGAGGAACGAGGGGGATAGTGACCTTCATGGTCGATGTGTTCTGCAGGTCCCAAAAGCACTAAAGGCGATCAAAGCTCTGGTCGACAAGTACAAACCATCGAATGTCTTCATCATTGGCTTCTCTCCGTCATCTAGCGATGTGCGATGAGAGAACGAGATCATCCTTGCAATGACGAGGCTGACTGACACCGCAGCAAGCGAGGCTCCTCCAATGGTTAGATGATGTCGGCTTCTTCGGGAGCACGAGCTGCGTCTCCGATGTCGGTCATGTGAGAAGAGAAGCGAATCAAATGTCTTGCAGAATGTGAGCATCAGCTTGACCAGGTCTGGCTCCTTGACAGCAGAGCGCGGGTCAATCAGGTCAAGAAAATGTCCTGTGTTGTTTGTTTCTGTTCGTTTCCTGTCTAGATGTCTAATTACGTCTCCCTCCCTTACTCCCTTCCCCACACACCTTCCCTCCCCTCCCCTCCTCTCCTCTCCTTTCCTCTCCCAAGCTTCCTTCTTGGTGCAGTGCTCTTGCGCTGTTTCTGCTCTCTACAGCTACTTCCAGTGAGCTTGTCGTGCCAGGCCAAGGAAGTGGTGGAGACACTGAAGCTTACGTCTCTCTTGTCTACCAGCTCGAAACTCGCAGAAGCTCTTTCTGCCGACATGCACATCGACGTCTTTCTCTTTGGGCACGCGGATAAGTCACAAGGAAAGGAAGTGAACCAAGGGGAGGAGAAGGTCAAGCAAGGGGCGAAGAGGATCCTGCCCTTGAGCAAGCTACCGTTGGCCTGGGGGAGCTGCTGCAAGTGAGGAGGGAGGAGGAGGAAGCGAGGACGGAGATGATGTCGTGACCAGGAGGAAAAGATCCCATCCATTCACCTGGTGGACTGGGACGAGCCTAAGGCGGGGAGACAGGAGCAGGGGAACAGCAGCTCTGGCACCGACTCCAAGAAAGCGGCAGGTCCTTCCTACAGCCTTGTGGCCGCCTGCTGCTCTGACGGCTACGCAGGAGAGGAGGATACCACCATATTTTTTGACAGGTACGAGGAGAGGAGAAGTCGCCGCATGCATGACAGGCTCCCAGGCGTCAGCGCGACGCTCCTCTCCGGCGAAATCCGAAGAGCTGACAAGAGCACGTGAACTAACATGCTTTGAGGATGAGCATGAAATGGGCAGGGAGTACTGCACTGTTACAATGAGTAAGGAGAACGAGAATGAGCAGCAGGAACAAACAAAAGGAGAGTAGGAAGAGGAATACAGGGAACAAACACGTCTGGTTTTCTTTATTATGACTGCACTTTCCCTGAAACTTGTCTTCCATTTGCTCATGGACATTTTGCCTTTTTTTTATTTGTTAAAAATCACAATAAGACGTGCTATATACCCAGCAGCGCCAGGCTAAAAAATCAAATGTTTAATAGTATCCTCCGTCAGCCTTGCCCTGAGCGTCCAAGATACCCTTCCAGTACTTCTTCTCGAATTCGGCCTTAGCGTTGACATCAAGGAGAACCTCAACATATCCGCCCTGCTCCCATGTCAGAAGCGCTCCTCCTCTCCCACTGCCTCCTCCGTTACCTGCTCGCGGACCTGGGGAACCCAAACGCCGGTGGGGGGGAAAATAGCTCCGATGAGAGCGCCGAGAACAGGGGGGGAGGGGCACCACTTTCCAACAACTTCTCCGTTCACGAGGGAGTACTTGGTTCCCCACTGGGGATCGCGGATGGTGAGGTCAGACTCGTCAACTCTTCCTCCGAACATCTCAGTTCCGGTGGCGGAGTTCTTGGCAGAGATGGCCCAGACCTTTCCGTTGCTGTATCTTCCGACGAGGACGGCTGCAAGCTGCGTCAGACCCACATCTCACTCCCTTCACTTCATCCTCACCAGTTCCAGACACCAAGTTGTCAGCCTGTCTGTTCACAGCAACCTGATCGGAAGGAACAACGCGAACCCAGGCCTCAGCCATGCGAGGGCCGGTCATGCGTCCAGGAGCGGAGGTAGCAGAGACAGCGGTTCCCTGGAATCCAGATCGGAGAGCAGGAGCGAATCCGCCTGCAAGAGCATCAGGAAAGGCTGTCCTCTTTTCCGTTGAAGGCGACAAGCACAACAGCCACCAAAACCTCCATCCACTTCACAAATCATCAATTACAAGTGGCGAGGCCTTGCAGGCTCATGAAACCGCACATAAATGAGGGCTACAAGACAGTAGACTTTTACATGGTGCAATCCTATCCAAAAGTCTTCTAATCCCATCCCATATCACCCCAAGAAATCATTCCATGGCTCAACAGCCGCTCCCCCATAAAATCCCAAGAACCCCCCAGACCCAAAAAGTTACACACAAGATACAAGAGCACACTCTTCCATCGCTGGTACATGTGAGAGGAGAGAGGAGCTACCTGCAGGCGCGAACGCGGAGGCGGAGGCAACGCATGCGGCGACAAGGATGGCTCTGAGCATGGCGGGGTCGGTGAGGCTCTGCTCCTCCCCCGGGAGAAATGATGTCACATTTCCCACCCCCCCAGCATTTCCCTACCCCACCCTTCCACATATGTACCCCCCTTCAAACTGGACTCTAGTTCTGGAGATCAAATGTTCTGAAAGTACCGGTACTAATTTGAAGACTACCACCCAATCAACAAAAATACATCCGGACACCCCTGCTTTTTATACCCAAAAGGTTAGATGAGAAAGGGTTCATGACCACTTTCTGGCTTCAGATGACCTACCCCACCCCTATTGAGGTCAAATGCACGGGAAATGCACACCCTCACCCTCTCCTTTGCGGATCCCATTTCAGCCTACCCGTCACCGAGTAACCCCCCACCCTCATGGGACACCACCCCCTCATCTAACTTGGCAATATCACCCCATGTATACCCCCACCCATGATGCAAACCCCTACCCCTCTACTCAATTGATAACCCCTACCCCCTGAATTCCAATCTCATGTCTTATCTGAGACTGAAAAGCTGTTCACCCCCACCACCCAAATTGATGACCCCACCCTTGATCTAAACCAAGCCTCGATTCCAAATCACACCCTACCCCTTATTTCCAATGGCTACCCCACCCGAGCCTACTTGGGACGATTGACCCCCTGGTTTTCTCCCACCCCCCCATCTCACCACATTCCTTATGAGTTGGACCCACCTACCGACCATCAACGACCTCCACCCTCGCTTGTTCCAGTCACCCACCCCAGAGGATTTGGATCTCAACCCCCCAAAAATGACGAATCCGATAGGTTATATACAGGGTGGGTACTTAAAATTATCAACACAGAGAATTGAGAATTCCTTGGATTGTAATAGCTTTTTAGTTAATTAATCAATTTTTCTATTGAAATTATTTATCTTATTTTATTGGTATAGGCTGTTGAAGAGACTTAGGACTTCCATTTCGTCTCTTACACCGCACTCACACCATACGACGATAAAATGACCTGGGGTCCACATCTCTCGTCACAGAACCGAAATTCACCTGGGCCCGCCTCGCTTTTCATACGGTGACTCCGGGAGTCACTCAGCCCTTGTTGGCGGCCGGCCGGGCCCGACGAGTCTCTCGGCCCTGAGGCGAGCCTGGCCCGGGCGAGCGGGGGGCGGAATCGGAGGGGAGCGATCATGATGAGTGCTGGAGGGGAGAGCTTCGCATGGCGACGAAACCATAGGAGGTTTCAAGAGAGATTCGTGGAAGAGATACGGGAAACTCCAAGGCCAGGTCTCGATCCCTGTGTTCCCATCTCTCTGGTGTTTGCTCCAAATGGCTTGCGACTCCACTTTATGTATCATGCAGCTGCTGTGCACTTCAAGGATTGGGCAGTTGGTGACCTTGTGCTGCCTTGCTTATGTTTATGCTTTCAGATCTCTCCCTTACCATTCATCAAAAGTGCTCCGACTTCGGGGAAGATCAGGTGGATGAACTCCCATGGTATCCCTGCCTTGCTCCTGTAACAATTGTTGACAGGCCACAGTCTGGGATGGTGCGAGGGTGCTATCCGCCTATCTCGCAGACCGTCAGCACTTTGCTGATGACTTCTGGAAGGGGAAGAGGGTGCTCGAGTTGGGCGCTGGCACGGGCATGTGCGGCCTCACCCTGGGTATGCTGGGGGCCATCGTGATCGTCACGGAGCTTGCAGAGGTTGTACCGGTTCTGAGAGAGAACATAGAGATCAACAGGCTTCAACACGCATGCACGGCAGAAGAGCTGCCATGGGGAGAGCATCAGAGCTTCGAGTGGTTCCAGTCAAGCGCCCCCTTCGACGTGGTGATAGGGTGTGAGGTGGCATATGCGGTAAGCTTTCAGAAGCAGCTCGTGGAGACGCTTGTGGCATCCTGCAAGCGCGAAACCCTCGTCTTCATCGGACACGAGCACCGCTGGAAAGATGTGGACGAGTGGTTCCTGGAGGAGATCGGAAAGTACTTCGAGTGTGAAACCATCCCATTAGCACACCACAATGAGCACTATCGATGTCCCAACATATCTATCTACAAGCTGAGGCTCAAAGTATGAGAGCTGCTCTGTGCTCAGCTCACGGGCACGAGCGTAACACTGGAGGCTGCAACTGTTTGTCTCTAGGATGGGAATGATGAAGCCTTCCGACTGCGGAAAGATTTATTAAAGAATCTCAGTGTTTTGCGGACGCTGCCGATTTCCACATCTCAAAATCTGACAACAAAAGTTCGACTCGATGAGCCACATGAAAGTACAATGTAAGAAATGTTCGTGAGGGCGCGATACACTTCTTAATCTCCTCGCTCCCACACCTTCATCGAGCGAGAGCCAACCCCAATCTGCAAGGTTCTTCGCAGACGCGTGAACACATTCTCCTGGACATAGGGGACGCCATGTCTGTCACAGATCTCCTTGATCTTGGGAGCCATTCGCTGGTACGAGAGCATGGACATGTCCGCAAACATGTGGTGCTCAATCTGATAGTTCAACCAGCCATGCATGAAGTCGTTGACGTTGCCCCCAGTGCGGAAGTTCACAGACCCGATGACAGCTCTCAAATAGAACTCATCGCTCTTGACCTATCGGCCCGTTAGCCCACCTAACATTGTCAGGGAAGAGGCACCTTGACGGGGGTCTTGAATCTGTAAACATCTTCTCCAGCATGATTGGGAACGACAATGATGAAGGAGTGAATGTTGGTGAGCACTTCAGCAAGGAGAAGGTTGGCAAACGCAGTCATGGCGACAGCATGCCCAAAGCTGAGGTGCGAGTCAATCAAATTTCAAACCATCTCAATAAAGAACTTACAGAGCATAGAAGATCAGGGGCGTGATGACGAAGTGAGCAGTGAAGTAGGGTGCCAAGCAGGAGAAGACAACTTTGGCAGGAAGAAAATTGAGTTTGAACATCTCAGTAAACACCTACAGAAATTGTCATCGATGGAAACCAAGAATGTCATTCATCTATGTACATATTTGATCGTGGCGGCCTTGCTCACATCGCCGAAGTCCCCAGGAGCCCTTGAGAGCTCGAAAGGCTGTCCACGTGCATCTCAGCAACGGCAAGAGTAAAGCAGGATGTTCTCAATCGACCTGAACGACAGAGTTATCTCCCCTGTTGCTTGCCAATAGCTTTTGGCGAGCAAACATCTCCTTCAAAGTGTTGGGGGCGTAATAGAACCACTTCCACATGACCTGAAACCCAGAACATCAGCAGGTAAGAAAGCCATTGCAGCACAGAAATCTGACCATCAGAGCGAACATCTGGAAATACTTGAGGAACTTTGGCTGATTCGACACACGGATGCTGTGCGAATTCCTCTCCAAGAGATCAGGATCTGACCCTTCTCCCAACTCATAGTGATGCATGTAGTTGTGCTCCACATCCCACGCCTTCAAAGATTCGTTCTCAGCGACAGCCAGCGCACAGAAAGAGACGATTCAAGACCTCTGGAAGCATCCAGTCGCACCAATCGATGAACCTCCTGATTGGGCCGCGTGCAAACTTGGAGCGATGGAATCGGCTGTCGACACCAACCTGACAGACAAACACTCAGCCTCGTCATCCTGGCTCATATCATGGTCAAACCTGAGCGCTGTAGCCACCATGGCAAACGTGATGGCCAATCATGGTCCAGCGAACACAGATAGCAGTGCTCAAGCAGAGAGCAGAGATCGGGTTCCAAGGAAGCACAGCAAACCCAGCGGTAGCCAGGCCGATAGCGTACAGGACGTACGACCAGGTGAGCATCTTCTTCATGTGCTTCACATCTTCCTCTCCCTGGTTCTGTCTGAATTCCTTCTCCACCGCGCGGACCTGCAGCATGTTGGTCATTTCAAAATCTGAATCATGAGCAAGCCATCACCTCGTCAGCCCACGCTTTCAGGTCCAAGTTCTTACGCCATTCGGGGATCTGTCTTGCACATCAGCCATGAGGAGATCAGAAGAACTCACTGTTACTGACCTTCTCCAACGGCACACCTTCAGGCACAAGAGCAGGAGCCATGGGCATGGAGGCAGCTGCTCGCACCTTGAGGAACGAAGGTGCTTGTCTAGAAGGCACAGTGTTGACTCCCTGCGTTCTCAACGACTTGGGCGCCCTGAGAATGCTGGACGCAGGAGCAAAGGCAGCTGCAAATCCAGCATTCGCAACCAAGAGAAGCACAGGAAGAGTGCGCATCATTGGTTCAGAAGCTTCGATGGAAGGCCTACAAGCAACATGGTGAGAAACTTTTGCCTATTATGACACAACTGGCACAGATAAATTATAGGTCACAAAACATATCTTCCCGCCCTTTGTAAATAAGGGATAAAGTGCTCTCTCACACAACTAGCTGCCATCTCAGGAGCGTATGTTCTTTGAAAGCTCACGTGAAATCAACAAATGGTTCACTGATTCCTGCTCGGGGATCTTCACTTGCCAGACAAAGTGAAAACGGGCTTTACTTCTCTTCTAATTGCATCCAGAGACACATCACACTCGGCATGACCGACCCCATCCCACATCAGTCCTTACACCCCTTCAGGCAATCTACAAGTTACATACGAGGTAGCCCAGTGCATGCTCCTTGAGATGGCATCGAGCAAGGAGAGGCATTTGAGCTGACAAGTATGAAGATGTCAACACCCTAGAACTTCACTCCTGCTCTCTCTCCTTCCTCTTCCTCCCCTCCCCTCCCATTCGTTCCTTCCCGCCATGTGCCATGTCCCGCCGCATCCACCACCGGCCCCCCCCCTGCACAACCACCCCTATTTGTTCGCCCCACCCCCACCCAAAGATGATCACCCCTACACAGTACCACCCCTACCATGATCAAAACCCATCCAGACCTTCACTACCATCAGACTGTTCAGATAACCCCTGTAAGACTACCCCCTGCATTCCTATACCCCAAGACGAGGGGCTAGGGGTACACATCAACATGAGCTGGAGTACCCTACCCTAGTAAATCCCATCTTTTCTATATCAAAAATGACACTTCCGATGCTCAGGCAGTCAAGTCAATGCCACTAGAGTACCCCACCCTGTACAATCTCAACCTGGACCCACCCCAAGGATAGTGCACCCCTTTACTTACGTATGGAATAATCATGTGACCCTTCCATGAACACCCCCACCATCTGTGGATCTATCAACCACCCCTTCGATGGACCTCCAAGATGACCCCAAGAAACTCAGATGAAGGTACCGGTGGTAGCAGTGACGGCCTCCTCCTGGTCCTTGTGTGCTTGACTTGGCCAGAAATTTCAAGAATCCTTTGCCCTAGGTTTCAACTATTAAAGAATATTTTGAAAAATGTGGGTACTTTTCAAATTTCATCGATCATCAAAGAAGCTGAACACAACTACTAGCTAGCAGTCACGCCACGGTGATTCGGACCGTCATCCGCGGCCGGGCCGCGGGGCCGGGCCCGCGCCGGCCACCGGACGGTCGCGCGGTCGCCAGGCCGTCGGCCGCCTCCCGGAGCCATGATTCCGGAGACAGTCCGACACTGAGTAGTAAGCCAGTGTGTCGGCGGCACGGTGCCATGTCGGAGCCCGGGGATCACTGCTGGCAGTCGCCACTCAGGCTCCGGGAGCCTCCGAGTCAACGGCGGCGAGGCAGTTACGGTGATCGGTACTACGCCGGACCGTCGTACACTGACAGTACGACTGAAATGATTCGAGGAAACGCGGCACTGCAGTCATGAGCACGTATCGAGCTATTCTTGCATCATTTTGTCAACTGCGTCGAGCACCGACTGCTCAATCTTCTCCTGCAGAGCTCGCTCGAACGCATTGAGTACGCCAATCTCCTCAGAGCTGAGGCCCTTGGCCGCCCCCTCGCTACCCTCTGGAAGGTCAGGGTTGACCTCCTTGGGTTCTTTTGCCTGTACCATGGTCTCATGGGTATGACGCCAGCAGAGTCCATTTGGACAAGAACTCTTCCTGGTCTGTTCCAGCACCGCCTGCTCTTTGTTTTCAGAAGACGCGAGATAGCAGGAGGCAGCTGCAGCTCACGGTCGATTGGCGAATGTGGTACGCGCTGCCTACAGTTTGAATCTCCTCGTACGCAACGATCATTGAGTTCCCCTCTTTCCCTTGCAACGTCTTGCCAGCTCATAGTCACTTGACAGCACAGGTAAACTCTGGGCAAACAACCTGAAGCAGCCTGACGTTGCGAACGGAGATATCAATCGGACTCGCTGATCCGCCCATGCAGGCATGAGCCTCATACATCATCTTGAGGGCACCTTCTCTCGAGTGAAGTGACCTGTGGAGTGGTTACGGTGAGGAGTGGAAAGGTCGGGTCGACCCATCAGAGGACACGATGCTGAAGTCCGTGGCCAGCACACTTGGAAATCTTGAGAAGGCTTCTTCGGTCATCGGGACAAGCCCGTTCAGCCACTGCAAGGGTGTGAGGGTAACCACAAGGGCAGGCCTGCCCACCTGAGCGAAGAAAGAGTGTAGCTCTTCAATCTCCTTCCTCACCGTTGCCTCCTACAACATCCAGTCATGCGATCGACCCACAGGAAGGATCAAACAGTCATCACCACGTCATCCTGATTGACCTGCACCTGCTGCTCTTCATCCTCCTCCTCGTTGAGCACCTCATAAAGTGATGTGCTGCCCTGAGCGCTGTGCACTGCACTTCCTAACATCTCCATGATGCTCCTGCGCTGAAGAATGAGAGCATGGCAGCCGAGTTTCACAGCACCGTCGCTCCTCTTCAGAGAGCTCTTCAGAGAGCGTCCATCCAGAAGCATCTGAGAACCCTTGAACTTGCGTTGAGGGCTGAGAGCCCACCAGCTGCAAACGTGAGAGGAGGAAGGAAAGAGTATTTTCCACTACCTGCATGCGTTCTGCTGGGATCGACGAGCGTCCGCAGTCCCTGACGACGATCTCGGCCTGAGAGTTGGGAGACATGCAGCAAGAGACTCCAAGTTCACTTCGATGAGGCGTCAGATTGAAATGGTCGGGCCAAGGGGATCACCTCGCGCAAAAGTCCTCCTGGTCGAATCGAAGAAGTACTCGCTGGCAGACTCCCCTGGATCTAAGGAGTGAGGGACCATAACAGATTTGAAGAGAGCACGGGGGAAGAGGAGATCAGATGGTGTTGAAGAACCAGTCATGATATGTGTCTTACGTGTCAAGCAGGGCTACCACATGATTGTTCGCTGAAAGATTATAAGCTCCTGACCGTGTCTACATATAACAGGACTTACGTGCGATCTCAAACTCAGGCCTCACTTGCAGACGGTGCTCATCAACAATCTCTCTGAAGGCCTTCACATCCTGGTAGACCAATGTCAGAACACGACCCTGCACGGAACCGCAGCATCACGCCCTCACATGGTCCACAAGGATTGCTGCGCTCCCATTTTTGTCGACCTTATCCACTGTCACACGGTACCTGTCATGGTCTTTTCGCCATGTGCTGATGCGCAAGGACTCTCCACTCTGCGTGTTCAACAGCACCAAAGAAGCGCTGGCATCTGGCGACACCCCAACAAACTCCAGACAGCATCCTGCAGTCACGCTGCTTTCCCGTGAAGGTTCGAGCGTGAGGAAGGGCATGAGAGTGACGACTTCGTCCTGTGCGTGTCCCTTGCCTTCCAGCATCCCTGCGCTTCCTTCTCCTCCCCCCCCACTTTCTCCTTCCATCGCCTCTCCCCTCCCTCTACCTCGCGGTCTCATCAACATTCGCATCGTCGTGGGATCTGCCATGGCGGGAGAATTTGCTCTTTTTTTATTTTACAGGGTTCTTTTTTAGTTTTACAAGTTCGAGTCCGAGGCCCGACTCTCAGGTCTGTCGTAGTCCTTGTTGATCTGCTTGAAGAGCGACCGGAGACTTTCTGCGTCAGAGTCATCCTCCTAGCCCCTCCTCCTCCTAGTCCCTCCTCCTCCTAGTCCCTCCTCCTCCTAGCCCCTCCTCCTCCTAGCCCCTCCTCCTCCTAGCCCCTCCTCCTCCTAGCCCCTCCTCCTCCTAGCCCCTCCTCCTCCTAGCCCCTCCTCTCCTAGTCCCTCCTCTCAGTCCCTCCTCCTCCTACTTCTCTGGGCCTAGTCTCTCCTCGGGGGCCTCCTAGCCCCTCCTCCTCCTCCCAGTCCCTCCAAGGCTCCACCTAGCCGACGGTCCATCTGTTCCTCCCCCTCCTGTCCTACTCTCTTCTCCTCCTACTGCTAGACAGCCCACCCTTGTCCAACTTCCTACTGACGGTCAGTGGTGACTTCCGAGCCGGTTGACCTTGGGCTGGCACGGCTCCTAGCCGACTCCTGCTAGTGCCAACTAGTTCTGTTTGCTCCTCCCTCACCTTCAATCCCGTCGATGAATCGCTCCTCTCGCCTGCCGCCTTGTCAGTTGTCATCCTCATCCTCATCCTCCCTCTCGTCCTCACGCCAGGTTCGTGTGCCCGAGCACGGCGTTGACCGCTTGTTTCTGTCCATGAGATTATCAGTCTCAGCACCTGAGCCACGGCCTTCGCACTTCCTCCTCCGTCAGATCAGCATACGTCGCTGGCAGCCGATACGCCAAGTCAAGTCGCAAGTGACTGTCGTCCTGCTGCTCTTCCGATGGGCCGCTGAGCTCGGAGCACAACTGAGCAATGGCATCCCTAGGGTTCAGTCAGGAAGGAGGAAGCGAGAGAGCGAGAGAGAGCGAGGAGGCTTAAGAGTGTAAAGGATGAGAGAGGAAAGAGGAGGGGGAGGAGGAGAAGGGGGAGGAAGGGAAGGGGGAGCGGGGAAGGAGGAGGAGGGGGAAGAGGAGGAGGGCACCTGCGGTTGATCTGAGAGAATGACAAGACCTGAGAACACGCTGAGTGTGCGAGGAGATGCAAGGAGAAGACTGACCTTGACGTCTGCATGACGACCGAATCCTACAGAATCATCAGTGAATCGACAAGCAGCAAGAGGAGGAGGAGGAGGAGGAAGAGGAGCAGCAGCAGCAGCAGCAGCAGCAGCAGCAAGAACGAGGAGGACGAGGAGGGCGAGGAGGAGGGAGACAGTTGACCTCGATCGAGCTCAAGCCACTTTGAGCCCAGCAGTGCAGGAGAAGAGACTTCTTCCCTAAGGATTGCGAGTCAGGACGGGGAGGCAGGAAAGGGGGGAATACTGACAGGGCAGCTAGCTGCCATCCCTCCGAGGAAATTCCAACTTGCTGTGCTATCACCCACACGCCAGCGCCTGGCTCGCTTCTTACACGCTCCCTGTCCCTGAGCGAGAGCTTGCGCCCTTCATGGCGGGGCTGGACTGAGAAGTCATACTGCAGCCTCCTGCAGGAAGAGATGAGGGGAAGAGGAGGAGGCAGGAGATGGCGATCACGAGAAGAAGAGGTAGGAGGCGTCTGCAACCGCCTCTTGCTGGAAGACGGGTCTGAGAGATGTGTCAACGAAGACCAGGAGAGAGCAGGAGAAATGAAGGCAGAGGATGGGTAGAAAAGGAGAAGGGAAAGAAGGTAGGAGGAGATCGTACTTGTTGTAATGGGACATGGGAAGGCGACGATATCTCCCTAGGCTCTTCTGCTGCAGGTGAACATCTCCAAAAATCTGAAACCATCTGCTCACGACCGTCGAAATCATTCCAGGGCCTCCTCCTTACTTCGATCATGTCGTCATCGCCATGCTCCTCCTGCCTCAGCAAGTTATTCCTCTTCTCCTCCTCCTCAGTAAGAGCAGGAACCTGCACGTCGAACTCAAGTTCCCTCAAGCTTGTCTCCACCTCCGATGAAGGATCGCGTGCCTGGTCGGATTCTCATTCATCTGCTCCTCCATACCAGGCGCTGCTTTCATTGATCTTTACCTTGGCAGGATACTTCCGATGCGCCATCTTGTAGTCTTCTAGCAGCAAAATCTTTCTCTGATCGTCGTCCAGCTGAAAGCAAGGACGTCAGGCGGGAGGAAAAGGAGGTCTGCGGGATGGAGGAAGGAGGAGACGGAGGCGAGGGGAGGGAAAGGAACATGCTCACCTCCTCAAGTTTGTGCATCACAGCATTCAGCACGGTTTCGATGTTCTCACAGTCGTCTTGCAGCTCCTGCGGGCCCGTAGTGAGATGGGCCCTGCCTTCTCCTGCCCCCCCGTGTCCTCGTCTTCTTCCTTGACCCTCACGAAGACGATCGAGCAGATAGGATGGAAGTCGAGAGGGAGAGGGGAAGAGGAAGGGGAGGATTCGAACCTCTACATCCAAGTTGAAATATTCCTTCATAATTCGCGGGAGCACGAGGAAAAGCCCGCTGTCCTGCAACACGTCCAGGAGATCCCGCTGACACCTCCGCACCCGCTGCCGCCCAGTGACTGTCTCCTCCTCCCCAGCATGCTGACGTCACCTGCATCGCCTCCTCAAGGTCCTGCCAAAGAGTTAGTGGCTTGTTGACGTAGATCATCAGCGAACCTCAGACAAGCGTTCTCTCCTCTCTGCCTTGGTCTCCTGCCATGGAGTGAGAGGGCGCGCAGGCATGCATGCGGAACAAGAGGAAACGAGAGCAGAAACCTGTTTGAGCAGCTTGTACCGCTCCTCCCTGATGACTCTCAGATAGCGAGAACCACCACAAGACAGAGAAGTAGGAACAGGGAACGGGAAGGTAGCCAAAGGAGAGAAGATGACAACAGCAAGACCTGATACGCAGCTTGTGCTTCAAGTCGATGGTGAGCGAGTAAAGCTCCCTCTTTGCCAAGCCCGCCTGCTCGCATTCGGCGGTTACAGAAGCAGAACGAGAAGAGAAATACCATTGGATTAGATGAGAGATGAGAGGAAGGACAGAGGAGAAAGTGGGAGGAAGAGGAGGAGGAGGGAGGAGGGAGGAAGAGGAGACGGTCACCTTGGCACGTGCATGCCTTCTCCAGTCTTCGATTGTCCCGAAGTTCCTTCCTTTGGCAATCACACGATCTCTGAGACAAAGAGCAAGTTGACATCCGAGGAATCAGGAGACAGATCGTCATGATCACTTCAATCACCTCGTCCGCCATGCGATGGAGTACTCCTTTTCTTCTCGGAGCTTCTCCCTGGGCACAATCAATGGGAAGAAGGGATACGCCTCCATCTCCTCTACTCTTGTTTCGTCGTGCTCCTGCTCTCGTCGTCGTCCTCCTCTTGCTCTCTGAATCGGAAGAAGTAGATAAACTCTTTCGAGTCAAGCTTACAGTGATTCAGTCACCCTCTCCCTTCCGCCGCCGCTCTTACCGATCGGTCTGCACATCCTTTATCGACTGTGTTGATGATTTCCTGCCAGCAGCTCATCAACAGGGAAACAACTTTGTGTTCGAGACTCACAGCAGTCATGGTGCTGTCGAGGATGAGGTAGGAGTGGAACAACTCCTGGTTGGGAGCGAAAGAAAAGGGGCAGTTGTACTTCACGCACGTTGGATCCTTGCATCGCCAGATCTAGTAGGAGGTGGCAGACTAAGAGAGGAAAGGGGAAGCGACAGCAAAGGAAGAATTGACCTCGTGGAGATTCATGCGGTATAGACCTCGTTGCATTTCTTTCTGTCAAAAAGGCTCAGAGGAAAGGCTCAGAGGCGGGGATCGATCATGGTCAGGGTCAAGAGCTGTTTGCACCACAGAAATGTCGCCTGATCCGTTGACATCCATGAAGATGAAGGCCTGACATGCAGTTTGATTGTCTTACAGAGCTTATCAGGAGGAGGGAGCAAACCTCTGCAGAGTTTTCAAAGATGAAGCGAAATCTTTCCTTCAGCTGATGGCAATTAGAACCAGACAAGAGGACATGTTCTCGCACAAGAGAGATAGCCTCCTTCAGCGATGTCCCTATCCCCGGACGACTCGCCGTCCTCCTCCTCCTCGTCTCTTTCACCTGCGAGAGCTGTTAGAGCAAGGAAGCATCCTCTTTCTACGCACCCAAAGCAGAAAAAGACGGTGGAGGCTGAACCCCGAGATTCTTTCCATGCTCTCCAGCACCCTACCAGCTCAGCTCAGATCACAGCAGGAGACGTAAGACTTGCCTTGAGGCAGATTGCTTGGTCTGGAAGCTGCGAATCGCCTTCCTCCTAGAGGCTGGTCAGAGATCGCATCTCAACGGAGGTAGACAAGTGACCTCGGAGTCACAGCAGAGGAGCGGCAGGCGAGGACAGAGGTATTGGAGGGAGACTTGATCCAGAGAAGATCGTGTGAACGGTCGTTGACGTCGAGAAGCGAGTCATGAGCAGAGGCTTCGAGAGCAGATAAGCTGTCAAGACTGTCGATCGGCAAGTTTGCAAGGGGTCGAAAGGCATGAGCTTGCTCTATGGCAGCCTGCGAAAGTCGAGTTGTGAGGAGAGGGAGGAAGGAGAAAGCTCGTACTCTTGTCCTTGGAGACGAGAAGTTGTGGCGACGAGAGAGCGCGAGCATCGACTTGTTTGGCATCGAGGGCTGCGCGAATCATCAGCATCACACCATGAATGCAAGAGACAGGAGAGGTGTCCTTCAGTCTACTTCACCTTGAGTGAATTTGCCAGGGCCGCGGCTGGCGGGTCGGCATGCTCCAACTCTTGCTTCTTCTTGACAAGGTCATGGATCTGCTGCCTGAGCTGCTTGGAGCTTTTGCTCTGCCCTACAGCAAACCTTTCCTCTCGCTTCTTCTCTTCCTCTTGTCCTTGCTCCTGTTCGGCGGCACTTGCCTCGTCCACTATCGTTGCCCCATGGTCCTTCGCTCTCCGCAAGAGCGCTCGCTGATAAGCTTCCTGGACAGCTCGCAGAGCTTCCGTCTTACGTTTCCGTCTGCTTCCCTCCAAGGAGAACTTCTCCTCGCCCTCGCCCTCGCCCTCGCCCTCGCCCTCCCCTCCCTCACCTTCTTCCCGCCTCCTCATCACCAGCACCCTCCGCACCGGCATTGCCGCGTTTAACGCCGCCATTTTGGTTAAATTAGTAAAAAAACAAGTCTGTACCTTTCAATCATCAGTCATCTGACTCAACGGTCTGTAACGGCATGCTCTTGTCTTGTAACGGTTTAACGGCGGCTCGGCTCTGCCTGCCTAATTCCGGCAAATATGGCAGGAGGGGGAGAGCGGAGGTGGCGGGAAGGAGCGGCAGGGATGGCAGCAGGAGCTCTCGTCCTGTGTGTCATGCTGTCGAGTCTCCAGTCACCGTCATCTCTCCTCGTCACTCGTCTTGCTTCCGCGTCAACAGCAGCTCTCACAAGAGGGTTCTTGTCAAATGGCGATGTTGGACGGATGCGGCAAGACGCCACGAGCGAGGAGGAAGCGGCGAAACAGCTCGGGGAAACGATACACCAAGAGATGTCACTCCTAGCTGCCAGACCTGATGCAAGCTCGAGTAGCATTATTGCGGCGGCGGAGCTTGCAGCCACCAAGGTAGCAAATTCGTCCACGTATGTTGACCTCATAAGGTTCCTTCAGGCTGCGATTGTGGCAGCAGCCCAGCGAACTCAATCCGAGGCATCTGAGCAGACACGTGATGAACGAGGATTTCTTGCAGGAGTGAATCAGGACATGAAGATGCGCCAGCTCGCTCAATATTTACACCTCGACAAACGACGAGTTGCGCATGAGAACCTGCAGTCCAAGGCCGGCAATGCCAGGTGAAGAATGCCGTGGAGCTTGTGGTGTGCGGTCATGACATCATGTACAGACACAATGACGAACATGGAAGCTTTGCGAAGAAGGGTCAGTCTCAACGAGAATGAACATGTACACGGTATTTTGACCCCCCGACAGGTGCGGTGGCGTCCAGACAGGCAAGCGAGAGCGGACATGTTCGGCGCAATGTCCGTTCTTCTGTCTTGCAATTTTGCTTTTAGGCTTACAGATCAGCTCCAGGTAAATCCAGAGGTGCGAAACGCGCTAGAGAGCGTCTTCCATGGAATTCTACACAAAATCGATTTGTTTGAATCAACACCTTCGCTCTCCGAGACTAGCAGCAATGAAGGGATCTCAAGCGCTACTTCGAGACCCAAGTCTCAAGCCAAGCAGGCACAGCAACGCTCCTTGCAGGTCTTGATCTCTTCCTCCCTCCTGCCTGCCTCAATCCATGGTTGAAACCTCACAGGTACAAGGACCCAACAAGGAGCAGGTGATCGCCAGTGAACTGGCAAAGAGGATCCAACGCCTTCGTGAGAGGGAGACCGCACATCGAAATGCAGCGCTCCTGGTGAGTTGAGGAGTGCGAGTGGAAGAATCTAATAGACACCAAGGACATGAACGAAGCTTCGGCAATTAAGAAGGCTGCTGCCCTCAAGGTAACCCAGAAATGTTTGAGATGCACTTGATTGATCACATTCGATCGCAGATTGCTAAAGTTTTCCACGAAGACCACCATTCTGAGGAGGAGGTGTACTTGTAAACTATCTTGTAAATTACCCATTCAGTGAACCCACAATATTCACTTGGCCTATTTTCGAACAAGTTCCTTCGGAGAGCACTGGTATTTCAGTTCCATTGAAAGAGATTTCACAAATCAATTTAACCTTGATGGATTGCTCAATATCCGACCTGCTAAATCGGTCAAAGGAATGTTTGACAGGCGTACAACTTGAGCACCTGGCGATAGCAATGTGCATCCACGCTTCTAAGAGCGGTTCTAGTCTTTCGAGAGGCCACTGTTTCATGTCCTATCAGAGTTGCATGTTCCTGTCATGTTTCAGCACCTGCAGCTGCCCATCGCATGGGGCCTTGGACGGATCCTACGACGGCATCATGCTACAAGAACTCTTCCCTCGCCCTCCTCCACAGGGTCCTTACCTCATCAACCTCAATGAAGATGCCGTTCACCCCAAGAGCCGCCGCCATGCACCCGAGCTCCGGGATCATACTCGCGCTCGATGCTCCACTGACGACTGACTGCCAGGGTGGCTGAGCGACACGACCAAGCATGGGGGGAGGCGAATCAGCTCTCATCACCTTCACCCCGTTGGAAAGCTCTACGATGTTAGCAGAAGGCTGTTGTAGACTGTGCGTGACGTCCAAGACCACAGGAAGACCGCTCTCCTTCATCCAAACCTGTCGCATAAACTCAACGGGCCACACGTAGAGATGCTCGCCTGCGATCTTGAGAAACTTGAACGGGCACCCACCAGATTCCTTGGGTCAACCACGAGGTCTGAGTATCCAAAACTCGTCCCACGCTCGCAGAGCATGACCTTGTCGTTCCCAGCTCGAAGAATCTAAGACCAGGAGTGTTATCCACCACCCTGTAATGAGACTGACACTTCCAACCTTGTTCGCCGCCTCTCGCATGACCGTAGCAGATGCAAACTGTCCCTTCTTGATATGAATGATTCTTCCTGTCTTCGCTGCAGATACCAACAAGTCTGTCTGTCTGCACAGGAATGCTGTGCGGCGTCAGACTCGCAAGGAGAACGAGAAGAGGCACCAGGGATCTGAATCACATCTGCCACACTCGCAACCTCCTCAGCCTGTATGGCACCATCAGGAGATGGCAAGGATGAGGCGAGGAGCAAGGATGGGGAGAAAGGATGGGGAGCAGGTACCTGCTGGGTCTCGTGGATGTCGGTGATGATGGGCAGATCGAATGCCGACTTCACGTCCCTGAGGATCTCGAGGCCCGCATGCAGGCCTGGTCCTCGGTAGCTGCCCCATGAGGTTCGGTTTGCCTGGGCGGGAAATGAGAGAGAAAGAGAGAGAGAAAGCTCAAGAGAGGTGGGGAGATGGAAGCGAACGCTGAGACCGGCAGGCATGAAGACAGAAGAGCAACGAGGAGATGAGGACACGAGAACGGGGAGCGGAGAGCAGCGAGAGGAGGGAGGCAAAAGGAGGCGGAGGAAGGGGAGCAGAGCAGAGCAGAGGTGAGAGAGGACTGGGGGTCCAGGACCTTGTCGAACGAGGCCTGCAAGCCAGTTTAACCTGGGGGGATACGCACAGGGGTCGGCTCACCTTGAAGATCATGACGAGACCTCTCTTGGCTCGGATGTCGGCGATCTTCTCTGCCACTCTCAGAGCATGTTCTCTCCCCTGCAGCACGTTCGGCCCTGCGATCACAAACAGCGGCTTCGCCCTCCGTAGCTGCTCCCACACCATCTCCTGCTAGCCCTCGAACCCCACCCCCTCTTCGTAGCAAAAAGACCCCCACCCTAGAGGGTCCCAATGGCAAGTGGGGGGGCGCAATGAAATCTGATGCTCGTTCCATGCATGCCCCCTCCCCCTCTCCCCCTCCTCCTCCTCCTCCTCCTCCTCCTCTCGTCAGCTACCCCATCAGACGTTCCTGCGCCGTCAGCCCTGGGGAAGAGGAGCTTCTCAGCTGTCCTCGATGCTCCCGGTGCTTCGCGGTACCTGAGATTGAGCACGTCATGCGATGCAGGAGAGGTGCGGACGGGGATCGAGGAGGGAGGCGGGAGCTCGCAACCAGGTTGATCGCAAATTGAGGATGATGCTGTGATTGACAGCGTGAGATGATGCAGGGAAGACTATCCTGACGTTGAGAGAAGGATACTACGACATGAAGGTAGTGGAGGAGGAGGATGTTCCTCAAGGTAACCTTGATACAGCACATCAACGTCTCATCGGAAGCATGCTTGCAACTACACGGAAGGCTTGCCTTGGAGACGGAGAGAGAGAAGTCCAAGTCGAGGCAAGGCTGCTCTCATCTCAGATTGCACGACCAGGCCGCCGACCAGGACTGCCCAGTCTGTTTGTTTGGTCTGGATGGCCGCGACAGCATCGTCATGAGCAGATGGACATTCAATGCAGGAAGTAGCGGAGCAATCAATCACATCCACTCGTACATCCCCTATCCTCACACGCTGGACGCTGAGATCCCCTCCTTGCTCCTCGTCCTCGGACGGCCGTGGAGTTTGATGAACTCTCGCCTTCAGTGCGGGAGAGGTATCATCGTCCACATGGTGGGCCAAGGAGGAGCGATGTGTGAAGGGTGCGTGCTTGAAGGCCTGGACAGCAACGAGCTCCGTGCTGCCTTCTGTGTCAGCATGGAGGAGTCGGCGATGATATCGGTGAACATGAGCGTCCTGCAGGACTCGGTCGGAGCGGTGCTGCGATGCTCAGGGTCAAGTTTAGCCGATCTGTCACGATGTTCGTTGCAGTATGGAGGGTACGGCATGTCGCTGGAGGGCGATGCCATTATCAGAGGTTCTGAGCTCTGCCTTCGGAGGATCCGCATCGGCGCACTGGTAGTCCCCGCCTCGTCCAAGAGCACACAGCTAGTGCTGTCTGATTGCTACAGTTGTCAGACGGAGACGTGGGGATCGGAGAGAAGGCCGAAGAGGCTGTTGCTCTCCGCATGCTCCTTTGAGCAGAGCCAGTGGGTGCTCAATGAGCGTCGAGCGAACGCGAGCGAGTGGATGCGATCGGGGGTGTACATGAAGAGCCTGAGGAGCGAAAGGGCCTTCAAAATGCAGGAGCCGACTGCAGACCAGGTAGCCAAGGGAGCGCTGATCCGAGCGGAGCAAAGGAGAGTGCTGCAAGAGGAGATGAACCGGCCTGTGGAGTGGATGAAGAGGAGGAAGTTCCAGCGGACATTCGTCGTCCTCAAACAAAGGCTCGAGAACAACTCCGAGGTTACCAACAAGGTGGAGGTTGATTCTGAGGAGGAGCTGTACAACGACGATTATCAGTTTGTGACCCGCAAGTCCCCCAACTCTCCGATCACAATGGAGCTCGTGAAGGCTACGAAGCAGGAGGAATCGCCTATGTTCCGCGATGTCCCAGTGGAGGAGGTGGTCATGCGAGATTTCAACGAGCACCTTCGTTACTACCGGCCATTCCCGGGGCTGAACTTTGAGGAGGAAGAGGAGGAGGTGGCGGAGGAGGAGGAGGAGGAGGGAGGGGAGGGAGTTCACAAGGACAAGGACAAGGACAAGGACAAGGAAAGGCAGGAAGGGGAGGACTCTTCTGCTTCCTCCGAGTCCTACTTGGTATTGGAACGAGCGTCGTTTTCCTCCCTTGACCTGGAGGAGGAGTGGAAGGAGCGGTCCGTGTACGCGCCATGGCTCAGAGACTACGAGGTCCTCGCCTCTAGCAGGGACGAGCTCGACCCCTACAACTGCACGGGGAGCAGAAACCCTCTGGGTTTTCCCCCTGACGTTCTCATGAACCTCTCCTCCCCGACTCTCTTCCTGGAGAACTCAGAGTCCGAGGCCTTCTCCCCAAAGATCCTCTACGACAGCGTCAACCAAAGCTGTCGGTTCGCCTTGCCTGGGGAGAGGAGCGACAAGAGGAGAGGAATCTTCCTGTACGATGCGTACGACGACGACGACGACGTCAAGCGGAAGGTGTGGAGCGGGAGGAAGGATAGTGACGAGGACGAGGACGAGGACGAGGACGAGGACGAGGACGAGGACGAGGAGGGTAGGGGATGGGGTTATTCAGCATTTTAAAACGAATCATTCACACTTTGAAACAAACTATTCATACTTTAAGAGAAATTTCAGACTGACTTTTTAAACATTCAACAAACTTCAGCAGGTTTCGGCCACTCCTAGCCAGAGGTTCTTGTGATAAGTTGCAACCTCATCTTCGCGATCTGTCAGCCAGAGTGAGAACGAAAGAGACAGAGGACAGGGAGGAGGGGCAGGCAAGCAACCAGGGATGGAGGGAGGAGGGTGGGGGAGGGAGGGAGGTGAGTGGAGGAACGGACGGACGGAGGGGAGGTGGAGGGACGGAGGAGGCGAGGGAAGGGAGGGGTGATGGGGAGGGAGAGGAAGGCAGGCATGTCACCGCGTTGGGGGTCATGGAGGTGTGCTGCATTCTTGTCTCCCGTCCCATCTGAGTGAGGACAAAATCTTTGATGTTGTTGGAGAGAGCCTTGAGCCTTGCGCCACGTCAGCAGGGGAGGGAAGACGCGTCAGAAAGCGGGAGAAGGGATGGAGATAGGGTTTGTTAGCAGGGGAGGGGAGGGGTGGCGGGCAGCCTTGAGGTCTCACTTGGTGATGCCTTTGCTCTCGCCCGGGATGGAGCCGAATATGATGATAATGACGAAGACGATGATATGCTCGAAGACAAACGCGACTATCCACTTGCTCTCCGAGTTCACCGAGAGCTTCCAGATCACGTCAGCCTCGTCCTCCTCCCCTCAAGCTCCCTCTGCTACCTAGCGCCACACACACACACACACACACACCACCCCTCCGTCTCACCATCGAAGCCTCACCCACCCACCCCTCATTCCCCCTCCTCTTCTCCTCCACTGCTCACATTGAAGGCTCCCAGCACACTCGAAGCAGTCTCAAACACTACGACAATGTTGGTGATCTGATGAGAAATCAGCCGCACGCCCGCACGCCCGCACGCCCGCACGCCTGCCTCCTCCTCCTCCTCCTCCTCTACCATCCCCTAGTCCTCTTCATAGCCACCTCCGCTTCTACCTATCCTCCTCCTCCTCCTCCTCTACCTAACCCCTCTTCCTCCCAACTCTCCCGTGTTTCTGGCTCCACGTTCTTCGCTGGTCTCTGCTTTCACGTCCCGTCCTCTTCCTTCACCTCCTTCCTCTCTCACCACACTCGCGAGGGCTGTGGCCTTGAGCACGTGCATCCATGTGGTGGGTATGGAGGAGACTGTCGGCAGGTCAAGGTAGAGCGGCTGGGCAGCAGTAGAGCCAGAGGAAGAGGAAGAGGCGGGAAGAGCAAGGATGGGGAGGAAGAGGAAGGAGGGAGAGGAGGGAGAATGTAGAAGGGAGGGGAGAAGAAAGGAGAGAGAGAGAGAGAGAGAGAGAGAGAGAGAGAGAGAGAGAGAGAGAGAGAGAGAGAGAGAGAGAGAGAGAGAGGAGAGGAGGGAGAAGGAGGGCAGGGAAGGGAGAAGAAGTGGAGCGCGCCTCTCACCCCTCTGAGCCAGCGGCCGACGCTGCAGATGGCAGAGTTTGTAGCTGTCGATGAAGCTCTCAA